TTATCTTCGTCTTCTCTTCTTCTTCTTCTTCTTCTTCTTCTTCTTCTTCTTCTTCTTCTTCTTCTTCTTCTTCTTCTTCTTGGGAAGGTTCATCTGTTGTTTATCAGAAAATCTGATATCGACCAGAAAATCTCTCAAGGTGGAAAAGCTGAGACGCCTCATTCACTTCTAATCTGAAATCAGAGGTGTCTTTTTTTACTTTCTGCCTAGAGATGTCCCGCTCCCTTAGCCTGTCACATACAATGTGTTGGAGCGCTAGCCAATAGAAGCGCGAGAGTAACACAGTGATGTCACTATGTCCCTGAAGTAAACAAAGGAGTCCATTGGTGGTGTTTCAGGCCTTAGCAGATCACTTACATGCTACACAGGAAAGGGAACAGCCAAAAAGAGTATATATATATAGGTATATATTGACAGTAGATCAAAGATTACATTTCAATTTAATTCAAAGGTTTTATATATGCACATAAGCTACAGTGTAGAAATGGCAATGAACATCGTATGTCCCGAGCTCCTCCAACAATGCAACAGTTATATAAGAAAGGAATAGCTGTGCAGTTTAAAAAGACGTATTGACCAGAAATATACAGATGACATTTTCAAGATTCACAGTTTTTCAGATAGTCCATAAGCAATTGTCATAGACAGCTTTGTCGTCTTTTATTCTGATTTAAAAGCACACAAAAACAACACTCAACATGATTCCTCTTTTCTCCTAAATATGTCGGCTTCATCCTTGCATTCCTTTCCTCTTTTATCCCTCTTCAAATGTTTCTTGTTTCAAGATGTTTTCCCATATTTCCTCCCTTTCTCTCAGCCCCTCCTGAACCTCTCTCAGCCCCTCCTGAACCTCTCTCAGCCCCTCCCTTTCTCTCTCAGCCCCTCCTGAACCTCTCTCAGCCCCTCCCTTTCTCTCTCAGCCCCTCCCTTTCTCTCTCAGCCCCTCCTGAACCTCTCTCAGCCCCTCCCTTTCTCTCTCAGACCCTCCCTTTCTCTCTCAGCCCCTCCTGAACCTCTCTCAGCCCCTCCTGAACCTCTCTCCGCCCCTCCTGAACCTCTCTCCATCACTCCTTCCTCTTCCACTTAAGTTTTTCTACTAAAACAACAAACACCATGTTTCTGTTTGTAGATCTGCAACTAGAGTTTATTTTCCTTGACTTATTATTTTGTCATGGTTTAAAATGTCTCGTAACCAAAAGTCCTATCGATTTCTTTGTGTACACAAGTAAAAGTTAAATACATGGAGGGAATTCTTAAGCAAGGGATTACAAGAGGACTATTTTAATACAGCAAAGTGTTTTAAACCCTTCTACACGTTCTCATGTGTGTCTTTGTGTTATCTAACACCGTAACTATACACACAAATTCACACACAACTACTTTTTTACTTATTTTTTCTCTTTTTTTTATTGAATTAGTTTGTCCATACGTGCTTTGTCAAAATACAAACTTGTGTTGTTTTACATATAGCATAAATAAAACAGAAAGAAAATTAAACGTAACATAATTATTGTAGCCTTGAATCCTAAGCACTTTTATTTAAAGGGTTAAAAAAATATATATATTAAAAAAAATTGTTTTGATCTCTTATAAATATATATTGTTTATGCATCAAGCTAAAGTGACTTTTTTATTATTATTATTATTTAGTTTTTCCAATAAACCAAATCCTAACAGCCCCAAAAACAGTTAAAGAAAAAGACAAACTAGGATAAATTGTGTTGTTGCTGAAATGCTGATATTTGCAGTAAATCCTCACAATGGAGATGTGAAACGAGATAATATAGGCCTACGTTCTCTCAACAGACTGTATCTATTCTAGTGCATATGCATGAAAACAATAATAACACAAACCATGTAAAGCAGAGGCATCAATATGCGTGAACATTTCCATACAGGTCTATAAGCATCACCTTTGTCCGCGATACAAACACTTGGATTTTATTCATCCAAATGAGTTATTTTCCTGCGATAAACACAGGATAAATGCGCAGAAGCGTATATATTCTGCGTGACCTGACACTGAAAATGATATATGTGACGGGCTGCAAGTGGTGACGTACATTAATGTAAAATAAAGTAATATGCAAACTCCATAATTGCAGTGAAATGTGTTTGTCACATACATTCGAGCAATTAAGGAGTCCTATTCACGCGTTTCTGTAGTAAGCAGCTAATCAAAACACTCTGACAGCTGGCAAAGAGTGTGTGTGTGAGATATTCATTGGTAATTACTGTCTTTTCACACCAATGGATGATGTTCCTCATCACAGCGTTTTAATGAAGTCGTTTGATTGGCTGAGATCAGTTTGATTGACAGGTGACAGAGTGGCTCGTCAACGTTTTGAAAGCTCCTGGAGATTCCTCTCAAGATGCTAATGTCTTATAAAAGTGAAACATTTTGAGTTAAAGTTGAATGAATGTGAGATTTCCTACAATACAGATATTATAGGATACATACAGGTTGCCATGGTATCGCTGTTACTGCAGGTGAATCACATCTTCATTTTTCTCAAAACCTGTTACTGTTGTTTGTGTTTCAAAGTGATTACGAACGAAACCCACAAATGTAAATGAATACAGAAATGTGGATTCAACACAATTAACCAAATTGTTGTCATCTGTATGTTTTCTTTGACATGACGCATACCAGATCAAGAAAGGAAGTTAGTGATTTACTTGAATCTGGCATCCTCTTATTTGTAGTTTGAAATAAATATCATCAATAGTGTCATATCGAAAATGAACAACAGCCCCACATTTGTTTTAATTTGGCATAGAAGCAAAAAAAAAGACCGTTCAATAAATGTATGTCAGACTTATGTCTAAAATAAATGTATTGGATTTCTGGACATCTGTACACAAGACTTGACATTATTGTAAAAGAAAAGCTGTATATGTGTTTTAGAGAATATGTTACAGTATGTGTCTTTGAATATAAATCCCTTACAAAAACATTTACTTTTTCCTTTAAATCTACGCTAGGCGATAACTCAATAATTCAATATTGTTTGGCATTGATTCGGTAAAATCATGATACTTTATCATCTCTTTTTATGTACAACCGTCTGTTGCCCAATGAATAATGCCTGAACACCTGTGATAAAAACCCTTTTGTTAGACACACACATTGGGGAATTATCCATATACTGTTAAAAAAAGACCCTAAATAGTCCTTGCAAAACATGTTTTTCATCAGACATTTTGTATATCGTGTCAAAAGCATGTTGTTCCAGCACAAGGTGTAGGATCTCGATCGTCCTGTAGTTTTTGTTTCCTCTCATAACACACGGTGGAGTTTACAGGCCTCCTTGAAAAGCTCATTAACAAAGTATTGATATATTTCCCAGAGGGCTTTTGTGTTGCCGTTGTTTGCGTCCCTTCGACTAATTTTCGTCTCATGTCACTTCTTCACTGAGTTCATCAAGGGCTTCTCAGAAGAGCCTCCTCTTCCTCACAAACAAAACACTTCTCTTCCTCTCGTCACTGACGCTGTGCAGAGGCTTACTGCCTCCCAGTGGACACATGGGGAATTACACTCACTGCAGCAAGGTTCAAGGTTCTTTATTTGTCACACGAACATAGCTACAGAGTAGTTATGTCGATGAAAATCTTAGGTCACAGGCTTCTCCAACAGTGCAACACAATAATACAGAAAAACTGAAAAATATAGTGCAAGTAAATATTAAAAAGTAAATACAAAAAGGAAAATAGTTTTAAAAAAGTGAAGTAGTGAAATAAGAGTCTATATGCAAGCTATTGGAATGATATATACAGCATTACACTTTGCACCTTATTCTGGGTAGTTAATACAGAGACCGATATGAATACTCTTATTCTACACTTATGTTGTTTCTGCCTCTACTATTGCTGCTTTACTGACTATAAGTACTGCTGTTGCATGTATCATTACCCTTCTATACAATTGTTCATATGAGTATGACAATTCTTGTAGTATCGCTCGTACATATATTAGCAGTACTACTTCCATTACTGCAAGTATTACTAACGTATACTCCTCCTACTTGGGCTGCACAATTATCAACATTTTTATTAAGAACACAATATTGATTGATGCACTATCCAGTGAAACATTAGATTTGTACAGACTTATTAAAGGATCCTGCCCATATCCTCTTAAGAGATCATACTATGATCATGTTAGTATTGTCTCTTGATTTTTTTCGAAAATCACGAATGATAATGTGATATTGACAACTAGAATTGCAATTCGTTTTTTCGACTCCTGCAGCCCTACTTTCTACCTCTGCATACTTTCATACTAAACGTTAAGTGCTATCACTGCACAGTAGATAACAGCAGTGAATAGCCTGATCCTGACACATGATGGTGTGACTCCTGCTGATGTGTGGTTGCTTTGTGGTTTGGAATATTCGGCTGCTGTTGACTTTAAACAGGAAGATTAGTCACTTACTCCAACACTAAATCAGCTGTTCTGCTCTGTGTGGATCTTTGAAGACGCTGCTGTGTTTGTTCAAGGAAGGAACCGTTTCATCAAACAGGGAGGGTGATGAGAGTCAGGAATGTGGTCGGATCAGGATGGGAGACCCGAGGGTTGATGGTTCAAATCCCAACACCACAACTATCCTTTATTTGTTACCCCTGAACAACCTCTGAAAAAAACTAGAGTATCAAATATCGTGATGAATCTTTCGTTGGTGTTTTCTCAGGCGAGTGGCTCAGCTGCAGGGCTCTGTGTTTAGTGAAAATATATTTACCGTCATACAGCAACACCCGAGGGATAAAAGCTCCCATTGTGTGCATTCATAAAAAAATAATTAATTCAATTTGTAGTAATGATCTCAAATATGGAACACTATCCTGCACATTTACATATTTTTTTTAATTAATTGGTGTTCATTATAAGTACATTTATTTTCAAGTACTTCATGTTAGCTTGTTAAAATGTGTCTTTATATAACTGTGTTTTATGCATCAAAGAATATTTTTGAAAGATACTTTTTTTATCTTGATGTCTGCATGAACGGCCATTTTAACACATTTACCTAGTATTTATCTGCAAATCAAGGAAATTAATATAGGAAAATTAACAATATTTGCAGTATTGCGTAATGAAAATGAATGTTGGATAGTACTTTTAAAATTATAATAATTATTGTTCACATTATACTACCAATAGTTATTATTGTGACTTATTATTTTGTTGTTTTGTTTCCCATTGTAAAGCGTCCTTGGGTCTCTTGAAAGGCGCTATAAAAATACAAATTAATTATTATTATTATTATGAAGCTCTGACCATATTGCCGTTTTCAAAGAATACATTTCCACATACTGAGCTGAATTATTCACCAACATGTCAACCAGCCAATCAAAAAACATCAATTCCCGAAATATGTCATACTACAAACACAACGATAGTATACATTTCCGCTATCCCACAGAGTGAATTCCAGAAGCGTATTTGTACAACCTAAATGTTTTTGTCTTTGTGTTTTCAGACTCTTGCAGATCGAAGGCCGCCAGCAGCTGCTGACCGCTGAGCTTTTTATTCTTCAGCAGAAGAAGAAACAGAGCGAACAGGATCTGAGGAGAAGCTCCAGCCTTCAGAGCGCCACTGTAAGATCACAGCAGGACACACACAGGTCACATGGGTTAAAAAAAAACAACGAAAAAGTCGTAATGTCAAAAATATTATGGATTGACGATGTGAGAACCTCAGGCTTTGCCAAAATGTGCTTTTTAGTGATTATAAATGGCACATTTTAAGAGATGCAATGAAAGATTACTACATATATAATATACAATATGATCAATATTAGAGGTATCTCATTGTGAAACAAACATGCTTCTCAATGCTGATGAATGTACAACTTTATAGAGTGAAACATCTAATAAAGACACATTGAACTTGAGTTTTTAACACAATATAATTACAATTTAAAAAAAAAAAAAAAAAAAAAAGTTGCATTTACATTTTCATCTAAATACCCGTCGGAGAAATTGAATAGGTTTTAAAATCTGAAAAATGACATCCACTAGTTCTATTATCTCAGTTGACTTAATTATTCCATGAGATTTTTGTTTCACATGGCCGTTACAGCGCCATCAAACATTGTGTTAATTCCTTCAGAGGTGAGATGATCATTAAAATAACACCATAAACCTCCAAATGCACTGATCAGAAACAAACCAGCGTGGTATTAATTGATTTTCTCCCTCTCCAGTTTCAGCTGTGTGCTTGTCGGGAGCTTCAGGTCTCCGTCACTGAGCGTCTGCTCCAATCAGAGCGGTTGGTGTTCCAGCAGGAGGCCCTGAGCGCGCTGCGTCAGCTGCTGACCCGAGACCAGCTGAGATACCAGGAAGAGACGCACAGACTCACCTGCTTCACACAGAGAGTACTCAGACTGTCCCACAGGTACACAACTCCACATCCTGTTTAAAGAAAGCATTGTCCAGAAAGTATTTAGTTAGGGTTAGGGTACACTAGGGTCATCAATGGGACATGTGAAATATCATTTATCATTTCTACTACCTGTAAAACTAAATGTCTAGTCAGCCCTTACTCACTTCAAACTCCTTGCATATGGATGCTTATTTGGGACTCAATTGGATAGGTTGCCCTTTAGCAATTATCTTCAATAAATACCTTTTTTTTCTGCAAAATGTTTCTGTTATAAATCTCATGCAAGTATATTGAATACATGTATCGTACAAAATTAATTAGGGTGAAAGCTAGTCCGTCGTACAACCGCGGTGGTACGTTTTCAAGATGCCTTTATAGTATTTGTTACATACATGGAAATAAAGGATTTGAATCAAATACTTTTAATTTTCACATAATGAAACAGGTTAAAATGTATTCTCTGCAATGAATCCATCCTAGTTTAAGGAACAGTTGGATGCTTTCTATATAGTGCACGGGTCTGGTGTCTTGCTCCGGCGCAGGAGGGCATCTCAAAGTACCAGAAAATCCACAATTGTATACTTGGTCAGCTCCGAGACTTGAACCAGTGACCCTCTGGTTCCCAAGCCAATTCCATACAGACTTTGTGTCTGCCATCCCAATGTAAATAAGTAGGCCTAAGTTACATCATTGGTTAAGGTTAAATAATGAAATGAAATGTTATGGTAATATAAAGTATAGCATATGGGGTAGTTTTGGGATAGGAAAAAAAGTATGTAGTGTAACTTGTGTTAAAATTGCGATGGAGAATGTTCAGGACTCGTGCATTTAATTAAGTTTAGTTTGCTTAAAGCAGTGAAATGCCTCGTTAAGTTCGAATGACTCAGAAGACAAAACTTGTGGCTGACAAGCCTATATAAAGGTAATAATTATTAACATGTCTCTTTATATATTTCTTTCAGATCGTACAGAGAGGAAACGTTCACCAGCAGAGACAGTGACCGCAGCATGCAGGGAAAGACAGAGCAGGAAAACAACATGGTACAACTCAGCCTCTGAACTCACAGCACACACTCTGACCTCAGATCATGTTGTTCTGAACGACATCTTTCTCTGACTGCTGACAAACACAACTAACCCTAGCTGCCATTCTGTATGGTGAGGGTTCATCCAAAGCTCCAACCTAAGTGCATCTGTGCATTTAGATTCAACTTCCTGGCCCAATCAGAATGCACCTTGGTTAAATCTCAGCCCCACTCTGTATCACATGGTCTCACGCTGTATTTGCCTGATAAGTCTTTTCGCAAGACCTTTTTTTTAATAATATCTCACACTTGAGGTGTACCTGAACCCATGAAATCCACACCTAACCCGATACCTAATGTGGATTTTGGACTATCATGTATAATATATAATATGTCAGTTCTACAGGGTGAAGTTCAATATATAGAAGCCAAAATGTAATGCCTAAAATCAGATAGAACTGTGTGTGTGTGTGTGTGTGTGTGTGTGTGTGTGTGTGTGTGTGTGTGTGTGTGTGTGTGTGTGTGTGTGTGTGTGTGTGTGTGTGTGTGTGTGTGTGTGTGTGGGTGTGTGGCAGTGGTCCAGCTGTTGTCAGTCTTTCTCAGACAGTCGGAGAGGAGACAGAGGAAACATCTGCCCGCTCATCTGGCTCTGTCTGTCACACACAGATGCAGACACACACACACACACACACACACACACACACACACACACACACACACACACACACACACACACACACACACACACACACACACACACACACACCCAAAGCATAATTTTCCTGAAAGAACAACAACAAAAACTCCCATAATAGACTGACACAGTAGTGACAGGGCACGCTGAGGGAAGAAACCTGGTTTGGAGTCTTATTATAACAGGAAACCTGTCAAAGTGTCAGCACAGTTTAACTTGTGAAGCTTAAACACAAAACAGCAGACGGCCCGCTGCCAGCTTGTATCTCTGCTCACAAATACAACATGATTCAGCCTCACCCTTTTCACTTCAGCAGGGATTAAAACTGAAACTCTACCAAAAAATCAATCATTTATCTTGGATAGGGTTTGTTTCATCATTTCGACCCAACAAGAAATCCCATACTGACTTTATTTTGACATTGTTGCAGCTAGCAGACCTCATCTTGTTAGATTTGTTTTGATTATATCCAAGAAGAACTCATAACCAAAAGGTCACGTTAAGGTTAAAGTCAGTTCAAAAGTGATTTTCACAAGCATTGACACACAAATTAATGAAATGGAAAACAGGACAATTCAAAATACATTGAGAAAATAGTCAAAAATCAACATTGGAAATAGATTATTCATCTGACAGCTGAAGTCACTTTGAAACTGGATTTAAATGGAAATGGGTCAACTCAGTGCAGACTGGATTCAACAGCTGACAGAATTTGCTTTGTGGCACTTTATAACCTCGATGCTGAAAAAATAAAATCATAGAGCAAGAGGCAAACGACCTCATGATGTTTCTGTTCAGTGCTGTAACCAACAGGGGGGGGGGGGGGGCTCAGTAACCTTTTTATCAGATTATCGGAGGTTAAATCAGGAAATGAGCCAGGATTTGTATAATCACACATAATTCTGATTAGATGTAAATGTAATAGATTGAGATCAGATTTAGAGGTTTTTGGAGAATCACTGATCCGTCCTGGATTGGCCGATTTTCTAACGCACACACATTCAGGCTCAATCAACATATTTCTATAAGAATACACTGATTATTAAGCTTTAATGAACTGTAATATACTCAAAAAAACAACAACATAGAAACAGGTTGAGGTCTCAGCTGCGCAGCATATTGTAGAAGTGCATTGTGGGTAAAAATAATGAGCCAACAACCAGAAATGCATACATTCCATAACCCTAAAGGTTAAAAATACATTTGAAGTGGTTGAAAAGAAATACAAAAGCCAGACAGAAGCCAAAACACTTGAGGTTCTAGCATGAGACGTTCATATAGACCAAATACGATATTTCTTTTTAATTAGGAGTAATAACTTTAATCAGTGAATTATAGTGTAAAGCCAAGCATCGTCTGTTTGAGTTTTTAAAGGCGGAGCAGCTGCATGAGGGAAAATGTTACAATGAATTTAAACTGCACTCAGAAACAGAAAAACATTGTTAGTTGTCATAAAAACATGAACCAAAAATATAAGAAGAATACAAAACATGCATAACGGTTGGACACAGGTGCAATACGTGATCGGTGAGGACAGCTTTATGCTCATGGGGAGATGTTTGGGTAAATATGTTTTATAAAGATGAGTCTGGGACGGGAGGTGCTGCTGATTTCAGCTTACATTATTGTAATTTGGCTCCATTTAGTTTAAAGAGATTTAGTGTAGGACAGATGCCGAAATGGGTTCTTACTGTAAGTATGCAGAAAACTAACCATTTTGTAGTAGGTAGTAGTTTTCATGATATAAAAAGATTAGTTTCACAAAGTAATCAGTTATGGTTTTGTGCAAAATATATTACTGTATAAACCTGAAGAAACTAAAAAGAAATGTGAAGCGGATAGAAAGAAAAAATAGACAGATTACAGCAACAACCTTTATTTGAAAATGTGGCTATAAATGTAAATAAAGAAATAGTGTAAAGTCCTCAAAAGTCCAAGGTGACTTATGTTGTTTGGTTTGAACAAAAGGCCTAAACTTAAAAATATTCAGTCTGCAATTACAGAAAGAAGCTGTGAGAAGCTCACATTTGATAATTATTTGCATTAATAACTTAAATTATTGACTAATTTTCACGATATATTCTGATATTTGTTTTGGTCAAATTGCTGAAGATGGATTTGTCCGCTTTATAAGATCCAGACCGGTTTCGTTTAGACGCATGTAATTGATAAATCAAACCTTTTCTTTTACTTCCGAACAAATCTGCTCTATTCAAGGACAACAGACTGTTCATGAGGACCTCACTAAGCTGCTTTTATTTTCCCATATTTAACATATCCCTAATCAACATATTTGACAGGCTTACAGTGATCATACATCTGGGCTCATGTTTTTTATTCCCACGTGAAACAAAGAGACATCCCGGATTAGTTTGACCACATTTCAGCCTGCTCTGTAACAAACATTCCTGTTGGAGGGATCGTTGTCGGTTTAGTGAAATAGGGCCGAGGACAGAGCGCCGGTTGGTTAATAATCTCAGCCATGTAGATTAGGGGTGGGGCCTGGGGGGTGGGGGGCAACAACAATAACACAGGAACATATTGCCAAGCAGATTGCCTCGGGCCAAACGGAGCTCGACGTTTCGCTTTCTGTGAGAGACGTACGTGTCCAACACAAGACTGCTGCCACTAATTGGTTATTTATTTCATTTTTTATTACACTGGTGTGTGTGTGTGTGTGTGTGTGTGTGTGTGTGTGTGTGTGTGTGTGTGTGTGTGTGTGTGTGTGTGTGTGTGTGTGTGTGTGTGTGTGTGTGTGTGTGTGTGTGTGTGTGTGTGTGTGTGTGTGTGTGTGTGTGTGTGTGTGTGTGTGTGTGTGTGTGTGTGTGTGTGTGTGTGTGTGTGTGTGTGTGTGTGTGTGTGTGTGTGTGTGTGTGTGTGTGGAGGCGATATGAGTGTCTTACAGTAATAACTCTGACTGTGGGTTCAAAGAGAGAGGTGTGTGAGATCATGTTTGAGAGTAAAAGTATTGTTAGAATCGATTTGGATTGAAGACAAACACACCAGGAATGTTAACATAAGTCAGCTGCATAACGTCTTATACAATATTTTTCCATGGACACAACTGAAAGGATTGTGGATACAAACGGAACATATTGTAAAGCACTTACGCATCACTGTACCCTGTATACCAAGGCGGTTATGCCATCACTTACTGTACGGAGGCTCAGTCACTGGTACTTTTTCATTTACAAAGCCATGTTGGATAAACTACCATCTTATATCTGCTCCCTGATCTCTCTGCGAATTGAAAGTACTTATTGCTTGAGATCGCATGCTGTGGTTTTATTAAATGTGCCAAGTGCTAGGACTGTCTTAGGGAAGAAAGCTTTGAGATGTGCAGCTCCACTAACATGGAACAGTCTGAAAAAAGAATGGAAAATTACCAAGCTAGTACCACTACATGTTTTTAAAGCTCGGTTGGATGCTACAAAATCAGATGCTGTTGGTACCTGTACTTGTGGTTAAATATGTAAATTGTAATCCTTGTACATTTTTCTGTATGATGTCCTTTTGTTGTTCTGTTGTTTATGTTTTTATGTCTTCTTGTGGAACCGACTGCTGCAGGTCTCCCTTGAAAAAGAGATCATTGATCTCAATGGGATTTTACCTGGATAAATAAAGGTTTTGAATTTAATATAAAGCAGCCCTGAAAAAGCAGGTCACTACCTAAAGAAGAGAGGACATCAACCATAAGAAGATACACAACAAGCCAAAACGCCCCAAATCAACTGGAAACAACCATGAAAGGGTAGAACGCTGCCAGAACTGAAAAACAGTTTAGGAAAGCTAGAAATCAAGCAACAAAACTTAAGAGGCAACTTATAGGAGCTAGAAAACCATTTGAAGAAGCGAAAAACAACCAAAAATAAGTTGTTGAACAGAAGATGCAAGAAAACCGAAGCAGCTGGAACACAACCCGAGGAAAAAGGAAAAATCCATAGGAACTAGAAAACAGCCAATTAAAACTGGACAATAAACAAGGGAGCTGAAGAGCAACCAGGAAGACTATAGGCGCGTTCACACCGGAGTACTTTTACCCGTACTTTTCCCGTTTAGTTCCCGTGCCTGGAATTTTGCGTTCACACCAAAAAGAGAACTTAGTTCAGAGAACTTTTACCCCCATTGTTAGTGCCTGCTAGAGAGGTGGGACTTTCCTGGGGAGAAAAAAGTACCAATTTCGATTGGCTGGGCGAATTGCAAACCACCCCCCGTAAAACTCTGAAAAGTTTTTTGAAGCCGCCATTGTATTTGCTGGCATTAGCATTAGCATTCGCCCTGCGCGCCAATTTAATAAGCTATCAAAAGATACTCCAGAGAAAGAAAACAACTCGAAAAAGTTAAAGAACAAAAAAATCTGTAACGCAACCCAATGTAACAACAGAAAACAATACGATTGAACTAGAAAACTACTACGAAATAACCAGAAGAAGCTAGAAGTAAACCTACAGAAACTTGAAAGAATATTTGAAGAAGCTAAAGAACGGCCACAAGAAGCTAGACGTCAACCAGCATCAGTGAAATAAAGAAGATTAAATTCAACACAAGGAACGAAGCCAGAAATCCACAGGGACTACTGAAGGAAACGGCCAGGAGAATCTACTGTAGAAAACAACAAGCAAATATAAAGAAATGATGTTTGAAGACAGACGATCAAATGTATTGTTACCAACTTGAAGAGTTGCTCTGTCTACAGATGGCCATGAGCTGGATTTGTGTTTTGGCTAAGCCAGCCTGTCCATCAGACATATCCATTTAAACTCTCATCAACATGTCCCACAGCAAAATACATTTTCATAGTGTCATCGGGGATGGAGCCAAAGCAGTGCAGTTAAAGGGGCATTTCACTGACCCTAACCCTAACTCTTTTAAATCAATTGATCAATCAAAATACTTTATTAATCCCTGGGAAAATTAGGTTTCGTGAAGGTTGCATTTTATTGGAATAAGATGTATATCTGCTTTTATATACATAAGTAAAAATGTGCAATAAAAGTATTTGTAGCCACTGAGGTCTCAGGCTCATGGTGAAGCTCTCGATGCAATCTTCATCAGTCCGGAAACCATCAAAGGAAACGTTTGAAATGCTGTTGATGGAAACACATCGCTTTGCATCACATCAAAAACTGTTTTGATGTCTGCATCTGGGGGATCTTCACCAAGTCTGGGAAAGTGACCTTGATCAGGTCATCAGCTTGGGTTTGGAAAATAAAAAATGCATTGGAAGGGATGCTTTTGAAACTGGAATTGTAAACCTGGTTATCTTTGCCTCTGATGCTTCTACTTTCACAATTCTATTATTATGCTGTCTATTAGCACGCTTCTTAACTTTCCGATTCATCTTGCCAGAACATGTGTAGTCAAATCTTGAATGACAGCCTTCTGCACGATGCGTTTTGGGTATTTCTCACACAAGTGGAGCAAATGTGTTCCTCAAACCCTAAACGTCTTTCGCCTATATTCAGAATCTTCTTCATTGGAAACTGAATCTCTTCCCCACGTCATCCTGTCCTGCTTTTCCTGAACATTTATTCTGATGGGTCATTGAGTACTTCTTCACCAAACATCAGTGAGGCATTCACTGTAGTTCCCAGGATGCACTGCTGTCATATATCTGGGTCAGATGTTGTACAGCTCCACGCCATATGGCTGTACTGTAGTGAGGCCACAGGGAATTGTGTGTGTGTGTGTGTGTGTGTGTGTGTGTGTGTGTGTGTGTGTGTGTGTGTGTGTGTGTGTGTGTGTGTGTGTGTGTGTGTGTGTGTGTATACTCCTAAAACATGAGAAATGTTTCATAATTTGCACGTCTCTTACGGCTTTAAAAGCTTAGTCAAATACAAATAAAAGTACTTTCAATGTTTTCATAGAGGGACCCTCAATAAAATACAAATAATATTTTAGCAACAAAACAGCACACATTGTTGTTCCTTTGTTCAACCAATAGAAAGCTTGTGCAATATGTCTTTGCTAAATTACTGAGAAAATGCTGTTTAAAATAATGCGGAAATGTGAATTGTAGTTAGCTGTATGTAACCAGATGAATAGTAACACCTTGGACGATGTAATTCAAACCAATAATATAGTATAAAATATTTCTAAGGCCATTGTGAAGTAGTCTGGGGAGTGTTTTATTTTGGAAGGCCTTTCATTATCGTAGCTTTGAGAGTACCACACACATTCAGGCATTCATATCAGAACATAAGCTGTTTTTCTCAACATATTTTGAATATATTAACTAATATTGACTAATCAGTGTTTAACCTTTTCTGCTTATCCACTGGCCCTCCGTGGGATCTTGACCTGAATGTTATGAAACTCATCACAATAATTTTACCACACATAAGGTCGCACATTTTAGAACACACACATTTCATCAGTGTATCCCTGTACTGTTCCCTCATTGCACGAGACTCACAGGGTTAAAATAATAACATTACAAATCATCAGCGCAAAGCTAATCCCCGGTCTGTAAACATTTTAATACCGTGGTGATTAGCAGGGATCTCAAACCCCCAGTCTACCCTACCCCAGCTTCCTCTCCTAACCCAGCATTGGATCACCATTCCTGGGGGAGGCGACCAGGCGAGACCCTGGAAGAGGGCCACTCAACGCTTTGGACCATCAAACCCCGAAAGTTAAACCCCTGGACTCTCGCCACTTCATTTCTCTAAGTGGCATCCGCCAACGTGATAACGTTAATTAAAATTGGATTTAATCAATTGGCTTTTAAGCTCAAATATATAATAATCATATAAAATATTAATTTTCTGTTTTTTTTTCTGTTTTTTGTAGTCTTTGAGTTGACTTGAATTATTCCTTTTGCTGGAGTCTGTTTATATATTTATCTGCGCTTTTAATTTCTGTGAGAAAGTGGGATGTTGTGTGTTCGGGGGAGGGTGGGGATTTTTCAGATGAGCGAGCAGATGTTGCACTTCCTCAAGAGGGATTTATGTCAGGATAGGGACTCACATTCACACACACAGACACACACACTGGGCTTCATGTCATTATGTATGCATTTCAACAGTCAACAACATCCACAGACTGTAAAGACAGGCGACAGAGACGGGGGAAAAACACATTATTAACATGCTGCCTTCATTTAAAGTTCAAATCCAAGTGATGGAGTGATGTGTTTCAATTTAATTGCTTGTTGGAGATTTACTTAGTGTTTGTGTATACTAACTGCTTCTTATGTTTAAAAAAAAGACTAAGAAAGAGGAACTAACCCAATTTGTTTTGCCTATACTTCTTGTATTGCAGAAGCAAATAGTAGCTAATGTTAGCGTTATGTTATTTAGACAGATATGGCCAAGTTGTTGACATTGCGGAGTCAGTTTTTTGACTGGTGACTAGTGTCCTAAACGGTTGTTCAAACAGTATACACAATGCACCTCAGCCCATAAGGGTCTCATTATAATCGGTCTCAATTAAGACACCTTAAGGAATACTAGATTTAGCATTGCATCTGAGAACGATATTGCAGTCACAATGGAATAGAGAATTAGCAGAAAAACATAAATACTTATCCAGCAATCAAAGATTACTCCTCTTTTTTTCAATGTTTTCTTCTTCCTTGTAAAAATATTGCCCTGCAAGTAGTTAAGTCGGAAAATCTGGTTTGTTACGCTCAGAGTTGGGTGTAACGCGTTACAAATTAACGCGCTACTGTAATAATATTACTTTTGTTGGTGACGAGTAGTGTAACGCGTTGGTAACATTGTAACATTGTAACATTGCTGGTAAAGAAGCAAGCATGTGGTATCGAGATATGTATATATTGCGAGTCATACTAAGATCAATATTTGCCATAAATAACCCTGCTTTTAATTTACAACATTTCCCCACAATGATCTTATGCACCTTTGAATGCTTAATACATCCATGTGTATTCTGATACATCACTCAGTGTTGGGTGATGTATCAGACCTGCTGCCTGAGGTTCAGACTCTTGGCTAACAGTGTTTCGGGGGTCTGTTATTGTGTTCACCTCTTTCAGCATGCACCTTCCTCCCAATCACCAACTAGTCCTCACCAGACCACCAATAAAGAAGAGGCAGAACAGGCCTGGAGACCCAATCATAAGAAACCCGCTGCAGGCCTGTCCCGTGGTTCGAACCTGAGCCGATCCGGCAGCGTCAAAAACCTGATCAGTATATTCTCCGGTCCTTCTTCTGGGACCCAACAGAGATTTTCACCTGGAACACTCTCAAGAGCTACTTCTACAGAGGCTCTCTACCTTTCCAGGGCAAAGTCAAGCCCTTCAACACTGAGCAAAGTCGAAAAAGACGACGCTTCTGTTCCCAGCATCACCGTGACCCCTCCGTTCAGGAAAACCAGTCAGAAAGTGGCAATGAAAGGAAGCTTTAACAGTCAGATCGCTGCCAGGATCGATTGTCCAGTCGATGTCAGGGCTGAGAAGACTGCTTCGGTTCCACTGAACAAAACACAAACCAAAGACTCTGGTAGAGACTCGGTAGCTGACTCCGGCATGGGATCGGTAAGCAAAACACTAAATGTCCTGGCCGACCGACCGTTTCCATGTCATGCATGAAACGAAAATCACTGGATCTTCCCTGTATGGAGACAGAATCAAGGCATGACATTGCAGTTTTTCAAAAATGCATGTCCTTGCATGATTAAGGCGTCGTTCACAATCTCATGCAGATCAAAAGCATGAAACTACGGCAAGATTCATTCTTCAATCGTACTAATCAAAATGGCCTCACATCCAAAATGTAACTCTTGCTTTTCTTTCATTATTTACCTGTAAATGAGCTTTACATGTTGCCAGGTTTGTTTTTATCTAAAAAAATAACAACAATTTAACGCTGTTGATTTTAACTGCCTGTGTTGATTTTTTTCCTGCATGATTGCAGTAATTTGGACAAATGCATTTGATTGGGACTAATGACACTTGTGTGCATTTCGTAATTTGGCTTGAGTTTCTACCTGGTAATTTGCTTGGTGTGAAACATAAGGGGCCTACTGTATAGTGGCATGCCTATGGTGGGTTAAGGTCGTTGTTTTGCAATAAAGACATAGCCAAATCTTGGTTATGAAGTCCCATGTCAATGAGTTACCAGTCCTCAGCCCCAGACCTTTAATCAGTGTATTATCTTGTCTGCATGCACTGCCAAACACAACTTTCCTTCTTTTTCACACATTGTGATTGGCTGCTTGCAAAATAAACACAATTCTTCCAACATCGTCCAACACCAGTGGGATGACCATGTGTCTGGATGTTGGAGTAGGTAGCTGCTTGCTAACATATTAACCAGAACGACTGTTTACTGTTAGAGTTCTTCTGCCCGCTAGTGGTCAGAAAACTTGAAGTCTGCTTTAAAGAAACCCCAGTTGGCGACTTAAAAAAGCACTATAGCTGAACATGTTTGGGAAGAAATTGCAGAAACATATCAAAGTCTGGCAAGTTGTTTTGTATTGCTTCCAGAAAATATATTTTCTGACAAAGTTGACAGACTGTCAATTGGTAGTTTCAAGTGTGATTTCTTTCCCCTGGAACTTTTCAGTTTTTTGCCCCTCCACCTTAATTTTGTGTTATGTTGTTGTTTTTTGTGAATCATATATACATCTTCTCCCTGCTGACAACACCAGCATATCCTCAGTGAATTCACCCTCATTATTCCTTTTGATTCGTTTAGTATTTTGTAGACTTCCTTCGACCCTCCAACAGTTCCATTTTCACATATCATTCAGGTTTATCTCATTGCTCCTTCCAACCTTTTGCCCTCTTCCTCCAGGAGTCAGAATTGGATTTGAACAAGCAGCCGGACAGCCCGTTGTCAGAGGATGAGCCCTCCACACCCCGAGCGGTGCCGGCCACCCAGAACCCCAAATATCAGCTGTTCCTCAACAACGACTACAAGGTCAACGGGTTGAGTGGCAGGGATGCAGATGCGCCAGTTGGAGGCGGCGGGACGGGGGGGGAGAACGGCCCTCGGTCCCGATTCGAGAGCAACCGGCTGGAGCAGAACCAAAACCAAGGGTCCCTGGAGTCCCTGGCCTCGCGGGACTGGGACAACACGTCTGACAGGGTGGGTGAGGCGGACCGAGGAGTGTGTGTGTGTGGGGGGGGGGGGATTTAGATCAGGTTTTTGATAATCACATATTTGTCATCTGTGATTCCAGAACCAGTTATTAAACAGTGCCATCTCCTGGACTAAACACAGCTTTAAGATATTTTATGTCCCATGCTCTGCAAAAAAACTCCATCAATCTATAATATTTTAAAATTCCAAAAAGTGTTTGATCCTGAATCTAATTAAATATTATAAATCCATCTTTTTAAATGTTACTGTGTTCACAAAGTATTGCACAATGGCATGATTAAAAAGTGTCAATTGATGATAGAAATACAAGTATTTGCTTTAAGGTATATTAAAAATTCCTATTTGAATGTCAATAAGGAATTGTTAATCATCAGTGTTTAATATACAACAATAACAGGATTGCTGCCCAATGAATATATCTGTTTACCACATTGTATTTGCTTTTATTTATTTAATATTTAATCAACAGCAAAACACGCAAACCAACGATAAAATCAGCCCTTCTGAATCTGCCTTCAGTCCGTATTGTTTGCTTTTGTAATTTCTATCTTATTTTTATTTTGTTGCTCTCTCCTTTGATCGTGTTGTCTCTCATCACCGTTGTGTTTTTTTTGTTTACAGTATGGAGTTGTTGACAGCCCTCCCCGGGTGTTCAACAGTCCGTACTCCACGACCGCCTCCATGGATTACAACCCCATGCACCGGATGTCTGAGTTCAAGGTTAGTAGTGAGAAGCTATTTTCCTATTTATACCTTTAATAGATTAGTGTTAGAATGACTAGAATTGTCACAAAAACATGATACGATTATGTTATAACAGTCAAAAATGTTCAGGCAATAAACGAAAGCTTCCACATACATTTGCTGTGTTGATATTTACAGAAGCCGTGAGAGGCAAGTGAAAACTAAATATTTCTGGTAATCTATTTTCTAAGTTTGATCTTGGTTGTCTTATCAACTATTTATGACTTAAACCCAGATAAAACGTTGCCCAGCTTAAAAGTGTTACATAAAGGTTTTTAATTAGTATAAATAATATTTTGATCATGATCTTTTTTCATGTTTGTTGTCATATTCATTTTGTCCACAAGAGGCTGCTGTGCACCACTACCCCATGTTCTTTTTACGACGATTAGGTTTTTCTTGCTACCAGACAGTTAATTTTCCTTGTGTTGAGAGAGTGAGTTAAGAATATAATTTTCTTCTTTAGTCCTATTTTAAAGATTGGTGTACTTCTGCCTCTTGTGGCCTAAATGTGCACTACAAGTAACACTCTTCTTACAGATAAAACGGATTATAAACTTGTTGTCACAAAGGTTTAAAGCCAGAGACACTTGAGAGAGAACAATTTGGATCAGATAATTTTGTTTCTGTCTTATTGGCCTTTCAGGGTTTCCGTATAAACTAATGTCAAGTTGTGTGATATTAACTTAAAAAGTAGTTCCATAAACAAAACGATAATATGCGTTTGTAACTGTCAGACCCTTGTTTTAGATGTAGCTTCAGCACTAGCAAGTGTTTCAACTTAGTCAAAAATCTAGTAGGAAATTGAAAAGCTCATCACATTTTCATGCATCGTGATGTAAAAGGTGTTCTGAGGCTGACCATCACTCGGTACTGACACTCCTCTGTGCCCACCTCCTCCTCTCCAGATTCCAGGGGGCATTTCTCCTGCCACCTCAGAGATGAACCTGTACAGCTTCAACAGTCGCAGCACCAGTCCTGTTGGCACGCCCACCCTCACACGCCCCAGATACTCCGCTTACGAAACCCTGGTGAAGAGAAGGGCCGAGGTCAACAACCATGTGGTACGATTTCTCTCACACACACAGAAACACACCCTATCAAAACTCACGTCCATACTATTTAATGGTTGACCGTGTTTAAAGGTCACCTATTATGCAAATTCCACAGAGTCTCTTCTACATCAACATGTGTCCCCTCTTCTTCATGTCTCTTCTACATCAACATGTGTCCCCTCTTCTTCATGTCTCTTCTACATCAACATGTGTCCCCTCTTCTTCATCAACATGTGTCCCCTCTTCTTCATCAACATGTGTCCCCTCTTCTTCATGTCTCTTCTACATCAACATGTGTCCCCTCTTCTTCATGTCTCTTCTACATCAACATGTGTCCCCTCTTCTTCATGTCTCTTCTACATCAACATGTGTCCCCTCTTCTTCATGTCTCTTCTCCATCAACATGTGTCCCCTCTTCTTCATGTCTCTTCTACATCAACATGTGTCCCCTCTTCTACATGTCTCTTTTACATCAACATGTGTCCCCTCTTCTCCATGTCTCTTTTACATCAACATGTGTCCCCTCTGTGGAAAGAGACTCTGAAAGTTTCAGGAACAAAGATTCTCTCTCTTTTTGTCCTGATACATTTCTATAAAAACCTGTCTGAAAATGAGCTGATCAGATTTTGTCCACTTTATGATGTCATAACGATTGTGTAACCATTAGCCAATCACCAACCAAGTTACCCCCCCCCCCTTATCCCCTGAATCTCCTCCTAGAGCACCATTGAGTTCTTTGTAACCAAATGTCTCTCAGAGGGGCGTGGGGAGGGGCTCCTTATTTTCATCTAAAGTAACAGACAGAGAATCAGCACTTTGGAAACAGGGCTGAAACAGAGGGGATTATGGGTAATGCTGCAATGAACTGTTTGGTGTTTCAGCCAATCAGAGACATGTTCTGTATATAACTGAGACCTATCATATATTGATGAAAAACAGTATAATAGGGGACCTTTAAATGTCGGTCTTTGTTGCAGATGCCACAGATGAACCAGATGAATCATATGAACCAGATGCCACAGATGAACCAGATGAATCACATGAACCACATGAACCAGATAGCTCCCGTCCACTACAGCATGCGCTCTAACACTTTAGGAGGGCCCAATAAAAAGGACTACATTGAGGAGTTGACCAAACAGATGGACGTCTGCCAGAAGGTAGAAGTTATACTAGTTATTATGGGTTACAATCACACTAATAATGAGGTTTGTTACAGCAAGTATAAGAACACTTCTTTTTGTCCTCTCCAGCGTAACCAGTTCCTGGAGGCAGAGAGCGTGGCGATGGAGAAGGAGAGGAACCAGATAAGGTCAGACATGAGGTTTTTTTCTTGTCACGTCAACACCAAATAATATCACCAAAAGAGAATATCAGCTTGAAAGTGCATATTAAAATACTTTTAAAGTACAATTAAAGATACAACTAAAATATACATATGACAGGTCGAGCCTATTTTACTTTTTTTAATTGTCGCACTCTTCACTAGAGTAGATTTTCCTATGCTTCCTTTCCTAATTTTGCTCTATTTTGGTCTGATTCTCATTCTGATGAAACTCTTTAAAGAGTAACTTAACTCTAAGGTTACCCTTGCTGAAATGATGTAAAGTGGGTATGATGATGAGTACAATATAACATGTTATGGTGGGTGTGAGATTAGGCTAAATTTAAGCTAGAACTATTTCTTGACTTTCTCTTATTTGGATGTGTAACAACAACACATGATGTCAGTGTACCGAACACACTTCTTCTTACACATGATGGACCGATCTTCATTCTCAATTTTGTCATAGATGCTCTTGTAACCTCAAAGCTATTTCCTGTTACTACTCTTTGGCTTCCTCCCTCTATGATATTGAGTGTTAACCTAAAGTTTGACACATTTCAAACCCCTGTGAAGGTATGAGATGCGCGGCCTGCTGGTGAACAACGAGGACCTGCTGAGGACCAACACCCAGCTGACCAATGAGATGAAGAGGATGAGAGAGCAGATGATAGAGATGGAAAGAGAGCATCAATCCCTGGGCGAGAGTTTCCGGGAGATGGAGGTGTGAGGATAAAGAAAAACAAGGGAATGGTACTGTATTATCCAAAGGTTTGCACGTCTGACTCTTTTTCCCTCGCCCTGTGCAGATTGAGGTGAAGCAGGCCCGGGACGTGATGGTGGAGGCCAACACTCAGGAGTACGCCTTCAATTTCCTCCAGCAGACCCTCAAAAACAAGATCCAGGACGCTGAGGTACACAGCAGCAACTAACACTTCCACATTTCTACAGTAACTGCAGTGTGTGGCACTTGTCATTAGGACAGATAATTCACATTTAGTGCCATTTGGAAGACAACGTACAGTAGTGAATATCGGGAGACAAATACTGCTTTGACACCTTTTTAAATTAGCTTTAAATTACACGTGTTTTCACTTTAATAGATTACTTTCAATGTAGCTAACTAGCTATGTAGCGGTAAAAAAGTGTTTGGCTTTTTTGACGCCAGTAGCAATGGCGTGCCACAAGTCGCTAGAGATAAAAGTATCAGCTAAATGTATTGTAATGTAATTTATTTGCTTAGTACCATTTCGTTTTATGTGAAAACGCTCAGTGAACTACATCTCTCGTCTAGCAGAATAAACATTACCCACAACAGCTAGCTAGCTAACTCATGATAGCAATATTTCACAGACAAATTATCATCCAAGTACATTGTGAGAGTACCAAATGACAATGCTGTGTGTGTTGTGTTCAGGAAAACCTGGAGAAGCAGACGCAGCACACCCAGTCTCTGTCTGAGAAGTTGTGGGTGACAGAGAGACGGCTGGAGGAGCTGGAGGTGGACAAAGAGACCAGAGACAAGAGGACAACCGAACTCAACAGCAACCTCTTCAGGATGGAGACAGAGGTACGGAGACACTATCCTCCCACCATTAGAGGAAACTCGACTACAAACTGAATATTTGAATAGAAGACTTGCTCTGCTCCGAATACAAACGTAGAGACATTTCAATGAACTAATAAGAGATGTTTAAAAGAGACTTGGTTAGGTGAATACTGCCTCTGTTTACCAGAGAGAAAGACACAATATAATTCCTAAATATCACATCACTCCTCTCCTATAGAGGTGATTTTCCTCAAGTGTTTATTTAGAGTTGATCTGGTGAAGCCATAAGCACTGATGTGTGTACGTACCTTAACGTGTGTGTGTGTTTCCAGCTGGCGGAGGCCCTGCTGGTGTCCACGCAGGCTTCAGTCGAGCTGAGCCTCCATCAGAAGCTGCGTGTGGACGAGCAGCAGAGGGTGGAGGAGCTGGAGGAGGAGCTGCTGGAGAAGGAGCAGGAGCAGCAGAGACTGCACAGCCTCGTGGGCCGCCTGCAGGGAGAGGTGAGCAAACACTGATCAATACAACCATTCTTTTACACTAACTTAACAGTCATTTCTGATTCATGGAGTGTGTTGTATAAATATCACTCGTCACCGGCTTGAGCTTCAACATCAGGATCCATGTATCTGTGATCCTCTCCAGAATGGAAGTAGTCATCACATACAGAGCATCAGCTAGTTCCTGAACAGTGTCCTTCACATGCTGATATCCAAGAGAGGGAGTTACACAGTCACAAGATGGAGGACTAGAAAGCAGTCTTCAATGTTTACTTCAGATTAGCTCCACGTCAGAAATGAGCATGCTTGTCATATGTCTCTCTCCATAGAGGCTGAATCATCATGTTAATCACATAGCTATCATATGCCTCAAACAGTCCTGATGCTCTTCTAGGTAATCACACATCCTGTCATGTTCACAGCTACAGTTGGGATACCTTTGTTATCACGTGACTCTGATATTGGAAGAGGACATTCAGTATTTTCCCAACAGTTACAAAAAATATCCATATTTCCCTTTTTAACACCCGTTGAATCTAAATCATCAACAAAATAACGTATGAAAATCAGCACATTTTATAAGATAATAATAAAAGGTAATACAAAAAATTGCCCCAATAGTTTCCTGGTTATATCTGCTTAATATAAATGTCCCCTGTTCACCTGCGTGTGCTGGGATGGAGCCTCAGGACCTGTTTGTGTTTTAACGTGTGTGTGTGTGTGTGTGTGTGTGTGTGTGTGTGTGTGTGTGTGTGTGTGTGTGTGTGTGTGTGTGTGTGTGTGTGTGTGTGTGTGTGTGTGTGTGTGTGTGTGTGTGTGTGTGTGTGTGTAGGTCTCTGGAAAGCTGATTGACAGGGAGCAGACTCTGGAGGAGGAGATCCAGCTGAGAGAGAAGATCCAGCTGCAGTGTAAGCAGGCGGAGAGGGCGGTGGAGGACCTGAAGATGGAGCTGCAGACCACCAACCAGGCCAGAGACGATCTGGCCAAACATGTCAAACAGTCCCAGGTACGGCTCCACATCTTCAGATACACTCACTTTCAATGACAATTTAAGATTATGAAACCATTTCACCAGAAAAAGGAGGGATTTATAACGATCAAGATTCAGGTATTTGGCCCTAGATTTCTGTATATCAAATGAATGACTGATATAAAAGATAAGGCTGGTAACAATTAAATCAACATGTGTTGGTGGACCATTAATTAAAAAAAATCCTGCATTTTATGTGATACATAATATCAAGTGTAGTGCAGTATTTTCTAAAATGAATTGTATCTCCGCCATCGTTCCCTCAGCACAATGCATGCTGGTATATATGTTTGGTTGGTGACCGTTGGCTGTATGGTCAATTTATTTTCACAATGCATTGTGGGATACTTCCAGTTTACTATTGATAAGTAATATCACTAAATATACAAACAATACTAAAATAAATATTTCTGAGACAGCCCAAAACTCCATTGGTTCCTTCTAAAGACTGAATGTAGAATATAATCCGTTTAACATTACAATAAATCAAGATGTGAGAAGCATCAACACAATAAAATATGAATATTATTTTAGACTCATTACAAGGGAAAAAAAGTATTTATAGGAGAAAAACAAATTGTGTTTTTGTGGGATGAATACAAAAAAGAAGCTCATATTTCCTGACCTCCTTGAAGTACACTCTGTTTCCAGCTATCAGACAGTATCCATGTGTCTGCATTACGCGACCTGATGACTCAAAGAGAGATGTCCACTTGAATTAATCAGTCATGCAAACCATCAGAGTTTTAGGGTTAATGAGGAATTATTCATGCAAATCCTGTTTAGCAATCAGCGTGCTAATGCCATAATCCTAAATATTCATAATGTGGCTATTTCTGAGGATACTTAATCCGTGCCACTTTCTAAATAACCTGCATGTTTTCTGCTGATGAGAAGACGGATCAGAAGTTTAGTTTGGACCATGACTTTTTATTTATGATGATTGTGTTTACAGGAGAAGATGATCGACCTGGAGACCGATCTGGAGGAGCTGCACGACAGCGAGCAGAGGTGGGCGTCCAAACACAAGAGAGCCATCGAACAGGTAAACACACGCGAACAGGAAGTGAGCTAACTGAACATATTCTGTCATTAACTAGACCTAGAAAACTCTTATGGCTGGTGTTTAAGAAGTGTGTGTGTTTGCTGTCAGACTGAGCAGCTGCAGCTGAAGCTGATTCAGGAGAAAGACCTCAACGACCTGTTGGAGATGGAGAAGGGTTCCGCCGAGAGACAGGTAGTGTGTGTGTGTGTGTGTGTGTGTGTGTGTGTGTGTGTGTGTGTGTGTGTGTCCACTTGTTCTACAAGTCTATGTTTAACACAGTAGAGCTGTAACGAATAGATAAAGCATCACTTATACATTCCAATACTCACAGAGTTTATTTTATATATTTTTTGCAAGTTTTTTGTTGTGTTGAAAATATATATATCCGAAAGCCAAATATAAACTTAGAAATTAAAAAGGTAATAGCATTCCTCACAGCTTTACAGCACAGTTAAGTATTTATCTCTCTATCACATTTGGATTTGGATATTTAAAATTAGGGGAAAAAACTGTTAAAGATTTATTAAACAGTATCGATTTTTTAAGCTTAACAAATAAATAAATAAAGGATTTGTCAGTGCCCTCTGGTGGAGAGACGGTGTAATGGCAAGACTGATTTGAAGGAATTCTTGGACATCTCTATACTGATGCTTCTTGTTATTGGCTGATATAGTGAACTCAGGTATATCTGTGCTAAGCTGCTAATGGACTGACAAGAACATGGTTTGAAAAAGCCTGTTCATTTAAGTAGTCTACGTAAATAATGTAAATGAAGAGGAAAGAAAGTAAGGAAGAAATCCCTCAGGATTACCAAAGACCCCCATCACCCCAGCCACAAACTGTTCAGTCTGCTGCCGTCTGGATAAAAACAACCAGATTCAGAGACAGCTTCATCCCGCAGGCAATAAGACTGTTAAACACCTGAACTGCTGAAACAATTTCATAACATTCATCTGCTACTCAGTAATTATGTATCTATTGTCTAATATATCATTCCAATAACTTGTATATAGACTCGTATTGCACTATTCCACTTGTTTTTCTCTCACTTTTTTAAAACTATTTTTGTATTACGTTTAATATAATATACTTTAATATTGTCTGCTTATCTGTATTATTGTGTTGCATTGTTGGAGAAGCCTGTGACCTAAGATTTTCAACGACATAATTACTCTGTAGCTATGTTGACAATAAAGAACCTTGAACCTTGAAGTGAAGCAGAAAGGTTGTATCATATCTAATGGAAGCTGCTCTCTGTTTAGCTGCGGGAGCTGCGTCTGGAGGTGGAGGAGCTCCAGAGCTCCAGGGTTCAGGAGGATGTGGTCTCCAGAGCGGAGAGCCGAGTCAAGGAGATGGAGAACACGCTGAGGAACGAGGAGAGGTCCGTCACAACGCTTTACCTTACTCACAGGCATTTATTAAAAAGCTGTTCCTTAGGCATTCTATTTATTATAAGGTTACTTTCACACCTGTGGTTTGGAGCTTCGGAAATGATTTGGAAATCACCTTTACAACAATTCTACATTATGATAGCACAGAGCATCAAAGTAACAAAACAAGTGGACAAGCATATGAAAGAAGGCAGGCACAAGTTCACCCATTTTTTGCCAAGGATTTTGTAAAAACAACCTGATGTTATCTTTCGTTTAACAGAGAATTAAAAAGACGTTTAAGCAGGGTCATTTTGAAACATGCAGCTTCTTGCAGCTTTAGCTCCCCTGTTGTATGTTACCTGTACAAATGGTGTAACAAAATAAATCAATAAATTGTGTTCATGTGTGCAGGAACAAATCTGTTCTGACCAACACCATCAGCAAACTGGAGAGGAGGATCAACGAGCTCAGCGACCAGATGGAGGAGGAGCACAGGATAGCTAATGAGCAGAAAGACCTGGTAACACACACACACACACACAGTTACTTAATAATCTTACCGTCCGTACATGTCTGAACCTAATTCACTAGGAACACTTGACTTGAACTTGGGAACAGGCTCTTGAGGCTGTGCTTTGTGATATTAAGAGATACTAACTCCTATCATTTAATACTCTTTTAGACGCCGTTCTGTTGGATTTGTTCGGTCTTGTCTGTTGAAAAATGTTCAAATGTATTATTATCCCTGGAGAAATGTGGCTTACAGTCATTTACTCACAGGTCCCGTTGAACACATACAGTATGTGACAATGAACAGCAGCAATCAATAGCGTTTGAAATATTCTTTAAACACATTGGAACAACCTAGAGGTGTTTCATGTCCCAGTTGTTATAACATGTTGGTCCCGCCCCATGTGCCCAAACTGAGCGAGCGCTGTGATTGGTCCCCAGATGACCCAGAGGATGCGCTCTCTGAAGCGGCAGCTGAACGAGGCGGAGGAGGAGGCGAGCCGGAAGGAGGGGCAGTACCGCCACACCCAGAGAGAGCTGCTGGAGGAGAGGGAGACCAGCAGCCGGCTGCAGAGGCAGGCGCTGGACCATAGCCTGCAGAACAAGTACGCACTCTGACACACACACACACACACACATGGAAACATACACACACACATACGGAAACAGACGTGAATGTTATCCTTTGTTAACATGAAGCATCAATTTAAATATGTAAAAATAGTGTTTTAGTCTCTTGGGTTAGTTATGCACTTCAGCCTCTTTTGGACAACATGAATATTAAACAATAAGTCGGATCTACATTGTTTTCTCTCCTGTTTTTGGGATATGAGAACTGATTTAAGATTTTTTTCACCAGGACAATCCTTTAAAGGGTCTTAAAAAAGTTATCTTTAAAATACGAGACTTTGTTGTTGCACCACTATCCCACATTTTCAATATGACTAAAAACCTGTTATCTTCTAGGAGAGTTTAATTTTCACTGCACTCCAAACACAAGGTATAAATATTGTGTGTCAGCAAGTTATGTAACATTACTGTCAATTGCTGATGACTAAATTGATTTAAATCTGTGCTATTCTGTCACTTTTAGTCTCATTTCGAATACGGGTTAGAGGTACATTTGTTTTTTTTTTACAACATCACCAACTTAGAAATCACACTTGTTCTATGGAAGACCATTTTGATTAAAAAGTCAAATGTTCCTTTCTGACTTGCCTCTCAGGTCAGATGTCCTCTGTATCAAAAGCACACATCATTTACAGTCCGTCACAAAGTCAGTACATTAAAGCACAAATTAAAACGTGGTGTCTCTCTCGCAGACGTAAGGACACTCTGACCATCCGTCAGACTCTGGATAACTTGAGGCTGGACCTGAGCGTGGACGATGAAGAGGAGGATCAGCCACCGGAGGAACAAACAACAAGCACTGTCACCAAAGTTTGAACCCTCCCACTTCACACATTAACCAATAACAGCACATCTCTACTGGCACTCAGGGTGCGGTGACATTTTCTAAAGCTGCCGACACCACTTTCTCATGAAAATGGATAAATGCTGCATGTGATCAAAACTAAAAGTCCACCACGGTCTTTGCCTCTGACACTTTGAAATAATCACTGATGTATATTCTAGAAAGTGCCCGGAAAAAATGATCTAATATGGTAACAAATTATAGGAAATAATTAGAGACAAAGTTGAACAATTCAATTGACACATTGCATGTACTTTATTAAGTGCAATTGTACCAAATGAACTGTGAACAGTATTCTCTCTAGAATTAGTTACAAATTAATTTCTTTGGTCGCCCTCTTGTGGTTACTATTAGGAATTACAGCTATCAATTAAAAACCCTAAAAACAAATGGCTGTCAACATTGAAGTCGAATGCCTGTTTCGACATGTTGAACCTAAAATGTCTATTACATAGAATATTAAATAAATTCATGATCTGCTTGTTTGCATACATGTACAGATGCTTGGTGCGAAGAGATGCTGACATACATTAGGGAAATATTACTAGTGGCGTGATGAGGATTTGATAAATGTGCCTTTTTTTTTATTGTGTTCTTGTAGTTGCTGTTTAATTGAGCTTCAAACAGCATGAAGTACATTGAAGTGTGAATTTCTCGATATCATCCAATTTGGCCTGAACGGACACTTTGGAAGAGGACTCCTTTAAAACCTCTTTTTCATTTCATTTTTTATAGAAAAAGCGAGTTTCAATTTGAAAAGAATCACTGGTTAGCACGTACATTTGACAATTTAGAGCTAAGTTCTTTCATATGGAGGGATGTTCTATCATTTAGTTTAACATGTGTTTATCTGCTAAATTAGAAAATATTCCAAACAAGTTGGAGAGGAGATCTTTGCATGTGATTATCCTTGATTCACCAACAATTATTTATATTGACCGTATTTTGTATGTTTCTAATGTTTTTATGATACCAAGATTATTGAATATTCTGTATTTGCAATTGCTTCTGGGGCAAACATAATTTTTAGAGAATTTAATGTATGATTTTAGTGCAGTTTACGGTATTTTAGGGGGTTTGCTGCTGTATTGATGTATCTTAATGTTCCTCCTACATACGCTTCTGTCCAGGTGATAAGATTAAGGGATAAGATATTTTGTGTCAGCAAAGAAGATGATACAAAAAGGGCTTTTGTTTCACGCTTTGTTAAATGTGTTTTTATTCAAGTCACTCAAAGCAGACTCAAATAAAAAGGAAAGGAACTGAGACGTTTTAGCTCTCAGAAGTAATGTCTACAGAAGGTTTGGATCCAAGATGTGTGTTAATGCAAAGTGTGGAAGAAGAATAGATCACTGTGCTGTCTGTTCATTGTTTGGCATGCTCTTATTTTGAAAGGAAATCACTTTTCAAAAGAAAACCACGTGTGCGGACACAGAGCCCTCTCTCTAGGGCTCTGCACGGACAGAGCCCTAGAGAGAGGGCTCTGCACGGACAGAGACAAACATGGCTGGGTTGCGAAATTCAAATCAGTAGGAATTGAACTGGTTTCAATCCAAACATGACAAGCATCCAATAGGTACTTGAATTTGAAAATAACTCACTGATTGAGTTATTAAATTGAACCCAGCCCTGTTCCTACTGTCCTGCTTGTTCCCTGTATGATAAACACACGAGGCTAATATTCAGATGCAGTAATCACACTAATCACATGAAAGAGTTTCCCAGCTGTTTGAATGTGTGCTTCAAATGTCTTTGCGTTTAACATTCTCCAAACAAAAAGCGTCAGATATGTAAAAAGAAATAGATTTCATTGACTTATTTTTGTAACTTCACTTCACACTCTACTGGTTCTGCTGTTCTCGGGTATTTATTTTTCACATTCTCTCTTTTGGTGAGAAGTTTCTTCTAACAAAATGCAAATAAACTCCTATGCACTGTGTCGTTTGTGTCTCTTTTAAAATGTGTGTTATGTTCTCGAATGGAAACCAACGCAGTTCCATCCGGAAAAAACCAAACACTGGATAAAACAAACAGATTTATTTGCAGCTCTGACATCAGAAACATTAAACGCATCACGGGTCATTTCATTCTCATAATGTCCAACATGCTGACGGTGCACAAACCCAACAAACACACAGGCATCGATACACGCAGTGAGAACTGAAGACACGTCTACAAACCGCAGGCATCAGAGAGAGTCCAAAAATAAAAGCTCTTAGAGGTACTTGGATTGATTCATTGTTTTGATAAATCGGGCACAAAATCATCACAACTTCTGGTCTCTTTTTGCCTCTGCTTTGTAATCTATAATCCATCTCACACACTTTACAGACAGAAGAGTTAATAACAGGCACAACATGACTCTTCAAACAGTGTCAACTTTCAAAGTGAACTCAAACCATTTAAGACGTATGGAAGAGATGCTGCGAGAAACACGTGATTCAAGGCAGTGAAACATGGATGTAGTGTAAATGGAAGTTAAACTTAAAATTGTAATATAAATACCGAAAATATACATAAAATGAGCAACGGAAGAAGAAAGGCTCGGATAAAAGCTGACAATTTGGTTCAGAAGATTGTCACGATAAAAGGCATCGGCTCAAAAAGTTAGAAAAAATAATCTAGAGGTTTTTGACACATTAGAAATCTTGACTCAATAGATTTAAAAGCTACCGTTAACCTGGCTTTGATGCCTTTTCAATTCGTGCCTTTGTATTGTTTGATTGGAGGCATTTAGTTAATCTAAATGTTATATTCCTAAATAGATTAAAGTTAATTAATTTGTTTGAATCAAAGAGGCTGCTTTATTCTTTTTCTATCATAAATTCATTATTTTTAAAGTTACACACCAAATTAGTTGATTAAATTAAATCAACACTTGGCAACCTTAAAGGTCCCATGTCATGCTTTTCCGGTTATTACCCGTCCCCTTGTGTTATGAAGGTTTTTCTGCATGTAAACGGTCTGCAGAGTCACAAACCCTCAAAGTACACCCTGTAGCGAGTAAAACTCTAACAGAAGACCTGTCTGTGCTGCCCCAGAACGCCTCGTTGGACATTTCTCTTTTCCCATTGTTTTCTTCCTGGGTATGGTGACGTGCCCATACCCAAATGGACCAATCCGTGGAGCCGTTACGTAGCTCACACACACACACACACTCAATCTTTTCTCAGCTGCAGCTCCGGCGATTTCTCCTCCCTGAGACAGCGGGACGCGGCGATGCTGTGAGTCGGTGTGTGAGCACAGCACACACAAACTCCCAGCCAGGCTGCGGGTGTGTGTGTTTCGGGCTGGGTTTCGCTGTGTCTCGCAGACGGCCACTGGGCTCATAGGGAGGGGGGGCAGGAGCTCCAACAAGCCGTGTAGGACAGAGAGTGAATACACATACTATACAGAGATGCTGTGAGAAACCAATGTGAGTTTGAAAAATTGCACAATTTAAATCTATTCTAGTAGACCTCAACAATGGAATTATGATCAGTAGAAATGCCCCTGACCTTTAAAGTGAGTTTGGACCGACTTTCTCCCCTTGTGTTAATTGCATGAATATGGCTGCAATTCACAAATATTCCCCCTATAATCCCTAAACAGGTAGCCTACTCCTTTCCTCCACAGTTACCATACTTGCAACAGAGGAAGTTCTGCAGTAGGTACACCTATAATAATTGATATGTCTGGGTTTAGCTCAGGAAAACAGGTGACGATAAGTTTGTCCTCCACTTCCGATTCAGCAATCAGGAACATCTCTACTCATAGGATTTCTATAAACATCCTCACGCATATATTTCTCGTAAATTAATAATTTCTACCTCTGCAGGCGAGAATAAATGTTGGACTGCGCATTTTCCATCTATTCGCCCATTAGCATTCACTTGTGTAATTGTGCCTCGTCAAATAGTCACCCGCATTCGGTCTGTACACACCTTTAAAATATATGTATAATACTTTTCAACGTTGCACTATTCAATATTTTTCATGTAACAATGGACCGTTTGATAGAAACACGACCCCAGTGAGAATGATGCAGCATGAGCTTTAGCCTCTTGTTTTAACGGCACAGTGGAGAGTTGGTGGAGACCAAAACAGAGCTAAAAGGACAGCGACACTGGATTCCTCAGAAGAACTCAACGCTGCAATGAAATGAAATACAACTTTAAAAACTGGTTTACAGTGATATAAGGTCAGTGTTCAAACAATTCATTTCAATTGCTGCAGCCTTAACTATCTTTACGATCAAGAAAATACAATTCTCCTGTAATACCACCTGCTAAATGACTGTTGAACTAACTTCATAAAGATGTACTTGTATTGAGAGGACTTCACATAGCTGCTTTTGTAAGTGTTAAGAAACATGATTACACTATGATTACATGACTAAATATTAAAGGTGGAATCTACATATTTTACCACAAATAAATTAAGCAGCTGATCAGCGAAAACAAGAATACCCTTCTCTATAGATGTATTTTCCAGGGAAATCAATTATGCTGTGTGTAACTTAGAGTGAATACAATGCAAGCCAGCAAATTAATATTTTGATAAACTAAAATGCAACACTATTATGTTTTTGATATGGCACTGAGATCAGCTGTTATCGGGTAACTTGTGAGGTTTTAAACTGAAAAGAGATTAATACACCAAATAAAGGCTTGTGAAGGCAGTTTTTCTCTAAGTGCACAGCAGAATGTTGTTTGGAAAAAAAAACACTTGTTTGTGGCGTTTCTTTGTAATTTGGCACACTGGTAGATTAAATATAGGTGACAATTAAGTGAAGCCAAAGGGCTTTGACGCTTTACCTTTTAATTCGATTTTTTATGTATCCATTAGGCACGATACTAAAGACAATAATGATACAAAAGTTGTTGAAACTAAACGTTTATACTGTTTTAAATGACCATAGAAGTGTTTTGACATTAATAAGTCACATTTACATTTTACCTACTGCTAACCCGATTGGCAGCCCCTGGTTTCAATTGACTTTAAACCAACCTTTACCGACATGCTGTAATACTTTTCTTAGTTGGGACTGCTATATCAAACTTGGCTCATTGAAGAACAAGGATTTAACCGCAAAAATAGTATTTCCCATGTTTCTGGTGCACCTCAACTTGGGTCAAGATTTTTCATGAAGTACTGTAAGGCAGATCAAGGTGTAACATGATGAGGAAAACCATTGAGTTGGACTTTTAAATTTAAAGGGCTTGAATGCAGCGTTTTTAGTTGAGTTTCTATATGAATGTGAGTTCTTACGTTTACTAAACAATTTAGTGTTAACCATGCACAATACACAACAGAAAGTTGGTCCACAGTAACTTCAAGTGTACATCTCAAGAGTTTAAAAGTGTATTTTCTTCATATAAGAGAAAAGCATTTTGTTAAGTAATTTGTGGGGTCATAGCAAACAGAGATACAGAGCAATATAGGAATGAAAAGAAAAACAAATATGAATGGAATAAAATTAAAAAAGGATATGTGTGAGATGTGAAGGACTTCACAAAAATATGACAACTGAAATAATCATCTATGCTTTACATTTCTTTTAATATAAATAATTGGTCACTTTATATTCCAACAATACTGGTCGTGTATGGAGCCTTAAAGCAATATTTCACTTTGTTGTTATAAAGAGATGGACAATCAGCTGCCCTGAAAAGCAGAAGTCACACTGACTCCCATAATAATCTAAAATAGATAATCATGCTCTGCACTCATAAATCCATTACATTTGTTTAAGATGAATTCATACTAATTGACATAAAATGTTTATTACATTTTAGTGATAGCAATAGGGTGACCTATAGCATCCCCAGAGCAACTGATGTTAGGTGCTGAATTATCTCAAACTCCTACAAAGATTAAAGTCTGCTCCACTGCAGTGAAATAAAGCTTTAAAAGCCAAGGCAGTAGATCAGTTTGGAACAATATGCCTATCCAGGTACTCTATAGGATACCCTATTAATAATATGTATATGTTTTTTTTGTCCACTTCCCATTGCTTTGCTGTACCCATATGTATTGTACAGTACGGATGGTATACTATACAAATCATAATCAGCCATGTCTGACACTAATCTGAAGACAAAATAAAGAGTTGCAAAAGAAAGGCGCGATCAAAATGCTAACATCAACAAGCTAGCTTTAGCCGCTGTTGTTCCGTACAGTTTGAAGTAAGGTTGGGAAATAATCATGGGGACAAAGAAATAAAGGTTATCAATGCAATGTAAACGTATTTAGACAATTCTTTTTCTAATTTATCATATGGCAGTCATGTAAGAAAGTGACAAAGAAAAGCAAGAATAGCTAAAAGCAGCAACTCAACGGCCACAACAACCTAGCTAGCAAGCTAGTCTTGATAGCACGATTTTAATGGTACAGCGAGAAGTGGGCTATGCATTTCTCGAAATGTTTCTAAATGAGTTACTAAAAATACTCTTCACTCCACACCTAGCCTGCTTTTGTTAATATTAGCATACCGTTTGTAGCCACTGCTATCACTACTGAGCACTGATACCCTACGTTAGCTAGTTTGTAGCTATCTAGCTACACAAGCTGCTAATCAGATGTGCAAACAGGAGGAAATGTAGCGGTTAGCTCATAGCAACACCTGTTCCAAGGTAACTATTTTTATTTAGTGGCAACACAAGTATTTCTTTTATGTGATACAAATATGACAGTTTAGTTGTGAAAAATGCTAATAAAGTTCAATATACTCCCAATATTTATCTGCAGGGTCATTGTAGATTCAGCTGTCATTACATGTCATTTGAGCTAACAGGGTCAAAGAGCTCCACCATGACGCTGTAGCCAACTGGGTTAAAAACTGTGTGGCTACATTTTTAGGAACAACGTTTTGCATTTGTGAACCAGACCAGAAACACTGAAAAATGTCCTTTCATGGCTCTCATACAGGTAGAGCATCGCATGAACAATGTTTGAAACAGGGGAGGAGGGGGAAATACATTTGTTCTCCCTGGTCCTGGAGGAAAGGTTTCAGGAGAGGATCATTAGTTAATTTACACAGACACACAGCCTGATGTCAAGCTCTTCATGCCTGCTGTCATCAAGTGATATCCTAAAGAGGTAACAACTTACCTCTGTTACGAAGTGATGTACTGTTGTTGCATCAAAAGTTCAAATTGAAGTTGTAAATATCTCCTTTTTGCCTTGAGAGATCCATTTAAATTATTCAAACCACTTGGGAGCAGAGCAATTTGGAGCTGGCAGAGCTTAATTCACAGGCTGCATGTTTTACTGTAAATGAGGCACATTATGTGTCTGACAGTGATGAAACGATCCCCTCCTGTTTTCATTTCCTCAGACTAAGACTGTTTCCTTGAATAGCCACTAGGGGGGACAGGGTTGTGTCATTGCCACAGTGCCAATCCGTATGGGAGGAGAAAGAAGATAAAGAAAAAAGAAGCAGAATATGGTTAAAGGTTAGTTTTAGAAAGTGTAAAAGAGGTAGAAACATGCAAAGATGACGGAAGGAGAAGGTAAAAGAAGGACAGATGTGGTGAGTAGAAAGGACGGACGACAGAAGAGCGCTGAATGGTCGTTTCCTTCTTCATCTAGCATGCACATTTCTTCTCGTTGGGCTGCTCATCGCTGAGCTTCGTGGCTCCGTTCCCATTGGCTGGATCGGCGGGCGGTTTGTCGACACACTGCTCCATCCTCTTCATGACTAGGTCCAACAGCGTTATCACCGCCTTGTCCACCTCCGCCCCTGTGGCTGCACTCGTCTCAAAGTACGGGATCCTGTGGGCGACAAAAAGCACTTAGGAACAATTTTCCAATGACTTTCATCAGATTTATTATATGTAATTTCTATTAAAAATCATCTTGTAGAGACTTGAAATGTCATGCTGATGAATTGTCCCTGAGAATAAAGTGAAAATGAAGTGGAAACCTTTAGTATTGGTCCCAGGGGGGGGGGATGGATAGAAGAAGATATTACTTTTTTCTGGAAATAAAAGTTTAATACCAATTTAGAAAAAAAGTGGGCATATACTGAAAGTTTCACATTATTCCCAAAATGTTATTTAAAATCTTACTCTTATCTTCTGCCCATAGGCCTTTCCCTATTACAATATACTATGTACCACAAAAAACAGATATCAGAAACAGTTATAGGGATAAGGGAAAGTTATTGTGATATAAAAGCGATATACGTTTTGCTAAGTACAAGTGAGAAGAAATGTGCGTATCCTGATATTCGGATCTGCTCAGAAAATGTGTCATGAACATTGGGAAAGTAACTAGACCAGGGGACTGTCGAACTTCAATAACTTCATAATTAACTACGTCTGAAAGCAGAAGTCTAGGCAAAATAATTGCAAGTCTCTTCAGTGAGAGTGTCACAAAATGATTTAAAAAGAAAAGCCAAATTCTGGAGAAAAAAAATGTCAAAATCCCCCCAAAAAAGTGAAATTTGAAGAAATAAAAAAAGTGAATTTTGAAAAAAAGTAACATTTACAAAAACAATTCTAAGAAAAAAAGAATATTTAGAAGAAAAAAAGGCAAATTCTGAGAAAAAAGTCAAATTTGAGATGCATTGTGGGACATGTAGTTTATGGGCAACGTGCTTCTGTAAATCGGCATGTAACCGTATTATAAACATATTATTCTTTGCAAGCTCTTGTGGGGCCACATACAATGAAGTCACGGGCCGGATTTGGCCCCCGGGCCTTGAGTTTGACACCCCTGAGTTAGACCGTTTGATTTGACTGATTTAGCCCCTGAACACTTTCCCACTGCGCCCCAGAGTTGAACACATATGACTTCCTTGAAGATAGTTTTGTTGCCAGGCAACATAAGACCAAGGTCTTGGCTGGTTGGAATTACACAGGAAAATATGTTTAACTAGCAGGAAGTCATTTGTTGAGATATTGCTCACAGTTCACCTTTATCTTTGTACAAACCCATAAACATCCTAATATTAACCCCGGATTAACCATTTCTTCATGCCTGTATGTTTGCAACAAAGTAATTGTTTGATGAAATGACCAAAAGAAAGAAATTGCACTCCCCTGTTTAAGTGTGACACTGTTAATCTGCATCACAGTAAAATCAAATATTATAAAGTATAAAATAATATAATAAATACAACATATGTTCAGGGAGTTGGAGTTTCTGTAATGTATTAGAGCCAAAACCAGAAATGTTTACACTCTTAGCTAGATGTAACAATACAACAAAAAAATCTCATTATTATTATTTCATTCTTAAATAAGAAATAAATGAAGGGTCAATTCCTTTGTAGTAAGAGATGCATCACATGAGGATTGTGTATATTTTGTAGTGGCTTAACTACTTATTTGTTGATGCAGACAAGCATAAATTATACATAAAACAAAAAATAATATTATCTCTATATCAAATCTAAGAGTTCGTTTTTCATAAATGATTTCATTTAAAAAGGCAAAAACAGCCAACGCAAAGACTCCTTCATGATTTTAGGCCAAGTTTGGGGGAAAACACTGGCAGATGCTGGCGACCTGAGACTTTAAAATAATATATGGATACAATTATTAAGCACTTAGCTCAGGAGCTACATCACAGGGTGGCTGACAGGTAATGACTGAATGTGATTCTAACCACAGGCGGACGATAAAGAGGTGATGGAGAGTCGAGTGAACATGGAAGGGACAGTCGGCTCCATCTAACCTGTAGGCTGTTCACTAAGAAATATCATGTGCAGTTTATTCTCTGTCTGTTACTTTAGATGAAAATAAGGAGCCCCTCCCCACGCCCCTCTGGGAGATATTTGGTTAAAAAGAACACAATGGTGCTCTAGGAGGAGATTCAGGAGATAAGGGGGGGGGGGGGGTACAGCTCATTTTCAGACAGGTTTTTATATAAATGAATCAGGACAAAAAGTGAGAATCTTTTTTCCTGACACTTTCAGAATCTCTTTACACAGAGGGGACACATGTTGATGTAGAAGAGACATGAAGACCGTCCACCAGGCGCCTTGGGGGACTTCTTGGAGGAATTAGATCATCTCCTCTCACACATCCCTGAAACTGGCCCTCCCGCTGTACTTCTCGGAGACTTCAACCTCCAGACAGGGAAGATAGACGAACCGCCTTTGTTGCTTTCTCACTGTCTCCGTCCCCACCAACTCATAAAGCTGGCAATGTCCTTGATCTCATATTCTCAAGGAACTGCACTACTTCTAACCTCTCTGTAAACCCGCTCCACACATCCGATCACTTCTTCATTTCATTCTCTCTATCCCTTTCCAAACATAACAAACTAATCTCTTCTCATCCTGCACCCGTCTGCCGTAAACTTAGTTCCCTCTCCCCCTCTACCTTTGCCTCATCGGTGCTCTCAGCCCTCCCTTCCTCTGACTCGTTCCAACTCCTGCCTCCAAACTCTGCTGCAGAAACTCTCCTCTCTACTCTCTCATCCTCTCTGGACTCTCACATCTCGGCAGGCTCGTCAGTCCCCTCCTGCTCCCTGGCTAAATGACGCACTGCGTGCTAATAGAACCGTCCTTAGGGCAGCAGAGCGGAAACGGTGGAAATCCAAACACCGTGACGACCTCCTAACCTATCAAGCTCTCCTCTCCTCTTTCTCTGCTTCGATCTCTCAGGCAAAAAGCACTTTCTTTCAAGATAAGATCCAATCTTCCTATTCCAATCAACTATTTTTCATCTTCTCCACCCTCTTGGACCCTCCCAAAGCCCCTCCCCCCTCCTCACTTCTGTCAAGCGACTTTGTTAACCACTTTGAAAAAAAGGTTGATGATATTCGCTCTTCTTTTTCTGACTCACCTTTACTCACCAGACCCTCCTTTCACCCACACACTAACCTCCTTTTCCCCTCTCTCTCCAAGTGAGGTTCTTACCCTCATTACCTCTGCCCGCCCTACCACCTGTCCTCTGGACCCTATCCCTTCAAACCTCCTTCAGACTATCGCTCCTGATATTCTACCGTTTCTCTCCCATTTCATCAACACTTCTCTAACTTCTGGTCACTTTCCAAACAGTCTCAAGGAGGCAAGAGTAAACCCTCTCCTAAAGAAACCCACTCTCAACCCGTCTGATGTTATAAACTACAGGCCTGTCTCTCTACTCCCGTTCCTGTCTAAAACACTTGAACGCGCTGTCTTTAAACAACTCTCCTGTTATCTCCATCAGAACAACCTTCTGGATCCGTACCAGTCTGGTTTCAAGGCAGGTCACTCCACAGAAACTGCTCTCATTGCTGTCACGGAGGAACTGCACACTGCCAAAACTGCATCCCTCTCCTCTGTCATCATCCTGTTGGACCTGTCTGCTGCATTCAACATGGTGAATCATCAGATCCTCCTTCGCACTCTCCAAGAACTTGGAGTGTCAGGCTCAGCACTTTCCCTCCTCTCCTCATACCTGAAAGACCGTACCTACAGGGTGACTTGGAGAGGGTCTGAGTCCGACCCTTGTCAATTAACTACAGGGGTCCCTCAGGGCTCTGTTCTCGGTCCCCTCCTCTTCTCCCTGTACACAAACTCGCTCGGATCAGTCATTAGCCCGCATGGTTTTTCATACCACTGCTACGCTGACGACACCCAATTAATTCTGTATTTTCCCCGCTCAGAGACCCAGGTCGTCGCACGCATCTCTGCTTGTCTAGCTGACATCTCTCAGTGGATGTCTGCTCATCACCTCAAGCTCAACCTTGACAAGACTGAACTGCTTTTCCTTCCGGGAAAAGATTGTCCCACTCTTGACCTGACAATCAACATTGGCACCTCTGTTGTTTCCCCGACTCAGACTGCAAGGAATCTGGGTGTGATCCTAGATAACAACCTGTCCTTCACTGCAAACATAGCTGCTACAACCCGCTGCTGCAGATACACGCTTTACAACATCAGGAGGATGCGTCCCCAGCTGACACAGAAAGCGACGCAGGTTCTGGTCCAGGCTCTCGTCATCTCACACCTAGACTACTGCAACTCCCTCCTGGCTGGTCTACCTGCATGTGCCATCCGACCTCTGCAGCTCATCCAGAATGCAGCGGCTCGTCTGGTCTTCAACCTTCCTAAATTCTCCCACACCACTCCGCTCCTCCGCTCGCTTCACTGGCTTCCGGTAACTGCTAGAATCCACTTCAAGACACTGGTACTTGCATACCATGCTGCGAATGGATCTGGCCCTTCCTACATCCAGGACATGGTTAAACCGTACACCCCAGCGCGTGCACTACGCTCTGCATCAGCCAAACGACTCGCTGCACCCTCGCTGCGAGGGGGACCCAAGTTCCCATCGGCAAAAAACACGTGGGTTTGCTATCCTGGCTCCAAAATTGTGGAATGAGCTCCCCATTGACATCAGGACGGCAGAAAGCCTGCACATCTTCCGGCGCAGACTGAAAACTCATATCTTTCGACTCCACCTCGAGCGATAGAATTACTAACAAAGCACTGCTAACAGAGCACTTATACTAATAAAGGACTGGCTTATCTATAGCCAGTTGAGTAGCACTTGAAATGTTTGGCTCTATGAAACCTGATGTACTTATATGATTCTGTTTTCTTCAAGGTTGTGTCTTCCTGGTCGAATGTACTTATTGTAAGTCGCTTTGGATAAAAGCGTCAGCTAAATGCAATGTAATGTAATGTAAAAATGTAAAGTAAAAGAAGAGGGGACACATGTTGATGTAGAAGAGACATGAAGAAGAGGGGACACATGAAGAAGTGGAATTTGCATAATAGGTGACCTTTAATACTCTAGTAATCATAGCTCCAAATAAAACTCCTGCACCAAATACTGAATGTGACAAACGAACAAATGTACCCGTATTTATCAGCCAGCTCCTTGGCCTGTTTCTCCTGAACCTCCCGCTGGTCCGCCAGGTCCGCCTTGTTTCCTATCAACACGATATCTGGATTCTCACAGTACGCATTGGCCTGTAGCTGGCCTGGAAACAATACAAACAAACAACAACATTAAACAACACTTGTATAAAAGGGAAAACAGATAGTTCCTCTTAGTGCTGGTTTATTTTATGCTTTCTTCATATGTCCTTCATCAGGCTTCCTTTCATCCATGACCAAATATAACTTTTCTGACCCCTGTGGAATTTGGACCTCTAGTGGCACGAAAGAGTAATGTTAAAGCTAGAACAGAGATGATTTTGTTACAAGTAAAGACAATATGAGACACATACTCATCCAGTTTCTGACATTGAGGAAACTCTGCTGGCTGGTGAGATCAAACATCAGCAGGAAGCCCATGGCGTCCCTGAAGAACGCCGTCGTCAGGCTGCGGAATCTGTAAGAGACGTATAGCAAATCAAACTAAGGATATGGCAGCTAAGATTTGAAGTCAGAGCTGAAATGCCTAAAAGGTGCAGTTTCTCCAACAATGCTATAGGAAAACTCAGACAAATGTGTGTGTGAAGACTGAAGAGACTACAACATTTCAGAACTGAGTTTTGTTGTATGTTATTTTGGGCTAGGTGAATATACCCTTCACTTCAATGCAACATCTCAGTAAAAGCAGATCCAGTTTTGACAAAGATAATAAATCTCATCGCTGAAATTCGAGCCTGTATCGTCACACTGAATGTTTCAACAGATCACTATCATTGTTTGTGTGCCTCCTTGTATGCACACACACACCATATGTCAATCATGTGTGCGGGAGTGTGTGTGGTGTTTAATTGCCACTGGCCTCGAATTGTTTAATCTGTTTATAAAGGCCTGATGACTCATCATTGCAGGATGACTCACTGTCAGTTACATAATCCTAACTTTATTTCTTCAGAGAACAAATTCTTATTTTCATAAACGGATCTTTTGACGGAGCACCCAGTCATTATTCAGCCTTTGTGACCAGTTTGTCAGACTGGAACCGCCCTGATGTCGGCTGCTTGATCCTGATTGTTTGCGTATCAAATATTTGCTCAGTAGTAAGCCATATTTACATAATAGTTATTATCGCTGGTGGTGTCACACCCAGAAGCACCCAATATCTACCCTTTGTACATTTGCATTAATAAAAGACATATCACGCTAATTGTCAGGTTCATATTTAGGGGCTGTACTGTCACATGTAATATTTACATGCTTTCATGTCTCCCAAAGTTCCCTCTACAGCAGGCCATTTACATGCACAAAGAACTATATAAACACACTACATGAAATAAAAAAAAACCTAAAAAATTATAGGGCTTCTTTAAGTCAATCAAAGTTAAGCATTACAGCTACCATCTCTGTGATTTGATGATACGATTTGCTCGTCAATAGGTGTACAAATCATGCATTGTTGTAGATAGAACCATAGTTAGTGTTTCTCTCCTAGTAAATATTGGGGAAATTACCCTCACAGACCAAACCGTTTTTTTGTATAAGGCTGTAAACATGTTTATTTCTGCTGTAAGGTCATTTGGGATATCATGAGGGTCTATGGAGTTGCTCTAGTGGCCAACATTACACAATATTACTGCTACGAAACTGAGAAAAAAATGAATCGTAACCCAATGGGTTATTATATCCTTCATTAAGCAATTGGGCACATTATTAGATGTCCCTCTTGGGCACAGTGGACTCTGGAAATATTTGCAGTACATTATTTACCATGTGTATTTCAAGAAAGGACAGCATAGACATGGTTGACTATCAATGCTGTATATATCTATATCTGTAGCCACGTTGAATTGAAAAAGTCATTGAAAAGTGTGAATATAGATAATTGTGTGCAAACTTAAACTGTAATTGCTATGATGTAAGGAAAGACATTACCCACCTCTCCTGCCCAGCTGTGTCCCATAGCTGAAGGTGAACCTTGAAGGTTTTCCCTGTTGTCGTCGCATTGGGATTGGCCGCTGTGTACACCTGAGGGGTCATAAACAAAACTAGTTTAGTTACATTTATCAGATACAATTAACAAAAACATTTATATAGAGAAAATGTTTGAAGGATCTATTGCAGGCATTAGTTTTAACCAGTAGGACCAGATATACTGGCGCATTGTTGAAGAAATAAAGTGATAGGAACTGTGTTAAACATTTAAATGGCAGCTACTACTGTCAATGCCTTTGGGTTGCAGGCAACACCAACAACATATATCACTATTACCTCTCCTGGTAATCCCAAACAGAAAACAGAGCAATCTCTCCGTCCTAGCCCTCTTACATTCAAGATGGTGGCAAAGAAAACTAAATAAATGGTGTATCTCATAGCTCTAGGGGCTTTAACAAACTCCACTGCTTCATTATTTGATTTCTCAGCATGTCTGACTAACGGTGATTTATTCTGACTGTAATGATGAACTCTCGTGTGCTGCAGCTGGTTGTTGTTTCGGTGTCTCAGCATGAAGCCTCGGGCGTCATTCACACAGATGAGACACTCTCTTTGAAAGCTGTGTTGATACGGATCACACTTAAAAAAAAAAAAAGTAAAGTGCTTTTTGTTCAGTTTTCCAGGTAACAACTAACTTTCAACTTGAAATTGTTGAGACGTACATCTGACAAAAGCGATTCCTCAAAAGGGAGACATGTTTGTCATTGAATCTAAGGATTTCTGGATTACGATGCCAAGTTCGGCCACTAATGCCACATCTGCACATTCACGTCTAAGGAAAAAAGTCCCCAATCGGACTGAAGTAGGTTGTCGACTGGTTGCATGTAATGTATAACTACACACTATGTGAGGGATACTGTACAGTGAGGCAGTTGTTAATAATAAAAAGAACACCGACAGGGTTAAAAGACGCCTCGCTGCACATTATCCTGCTTAATAAACAGTTACATATTAAACCAACGATTTGACTCACAGCATGGATTTTAAATGACTTTTTTTGTATGAATTGATCGTATTGCATCCGCTGGAACTGCGGCAACAGCAACGCAAATTAAAATGGCGGTAGCACTGATCGAGGTTTACTGTTCTGTCCAAATTAATTTTCCTAATAACCAGTTTTTTTTAAACACAGCCAGAGCCCATACAGTGTTCTTGTTAGAGGTATTTCCTGTCTGCCTTCTGCTGTTCCCTTTACTGTTTACGTCCTGTGTGTTTTCTGCTGTTGATTTCTCTATCGTTCTAACTTCTTTCCTTCTCTTGCGGTAATTTTTCTTTCTTAACATGGTACAGTTTAGCCATCATGAATCCAAAGTTGTGTGCTCTCCACAAATATAATAATAATACATTACATTTATAAAGCGCTTTTCCTGGTGCTCAAAGCGCTTATATAAACGCATATTCAAAAAGTATTCCACGTGCTTACTGATGGGGAAAACTAATTATATGTTGTTCACAGCTGACATTCAATAAACCAGACTTTTCTCTGCAGATTGATATGACTACACATAGTCCCTTGATCCTCCATAGCAATGGTAAGTTCTCATTAGCAGCGAAATATATAAACACCTCTATAATATCCAAATTGACCACAATCACGGACTGAAGATGGAAATGAACTATTAGTTCAAATCTGGCATAATTAATATCTCCTCTTTTCTGAGATTAATGTATGCATGGTCCTTGTTGAAATAAATACAAAGAAAAAAAGAATTCAACTGATGTAAAAAGTATAGTTAAATGCAGAGCCTGAATGTCAAACCTTCTTAATTCCTTTCCATTTAAAAAAACTAATTGTTCCACATTTAGCATTCAGCTTCCATAGAGACCCTGAGGAGGAGCCTCTGACATCACGGCGCTACAGCTGTGATCCAACGTGTCTGCTTCTGTTTGACTCCTGGACACGAGGTGTGATCTTAACACGCACACAGACCAAGTGAGGAACTCTAATCAATCCTGTGAGTCATCCGGAGCACTGGGGTTTAAACAGCGTTGTCTGTATTTCAGAGGAACAAAGGAAAAAACATCTTTCCAAAGCGAGCCTCGCCCACTCTCTGATTCAAATAACTCACACTTAGACATCTCAATGTGTTCACCCTGATGAGATCCCAGCTACAGAAGTAAATGTTTTCACTCAGGGACAGTTTTAAAGTGGTATTCACAGTCAATCTTTTGAGTGTTAAAGCCTCTGGTGGCGGTTTGTTTCTTCACAGATAACAGCAGCTGTGGAAAGACTGGATTTATCTCAATTAGAGCAGATTGATCTAACGGACTAGTTGTTACGCTGGGGAAATGACATCCATTAGAACTTTTTGAAGCAAGGAATCAACACAGCTTTTTTGCTACAGATTGACAATAGAAGATACTACTGTACATCTAGGTCTGTTTAAATATGATCATAAAAAAGGGTGCTACAGCCAGGAAAGGGCTATCTTCGCTTGGGATAAAGCCTCGAAACATGTGGCCTAGATCTGTCAAAAATACTGTTCATATTCTTTTATTATTCTTTGTAATGTCAGTGTGTACTGCTATTCCTCCTGGTGTAATGTGCAGCATGGGAAAGAAAACTGCTGCATTGAAAAGAAAACACAACATTTCGTCTCCTACTTTTTGCAATCACAAAAAGGGACTCAATGTGCATAAGCTATTACAATTTTTAATTTTATTATATGAACAGGGTCAGTATGTCCCGACTATATCTTTAAAGTTCTGTGTGTCTGATGCTCCTTGTTAACAATATGGTCATGTATATCACTTTAAATTAATTAAGATTATGAAAAGGGCTAGACAGGATGTCAAAATACATTTAAAAATAAGAATCTATATATTAAATTTAGTGTACATACTGCCGCAATTTTTCTTTTTTGTTTTCATTTAGCTACTCTCATTCTTCTTTATTTAATTTTTTTTTTTTTTTAAATGTTATGATGTGTACACCTAATTATTAAACCAAAATACTGTGTTGCTTTTATTGGATGTATTAGAGTAAAACGGCATTTGTAAACTATACTATTCTTTAAGTCCAGCCTTTAATTTATGATGACAAATGTTTGATACTAAATATCTTGGTTTCTGCTTCTTTAAGGTCACATTGGTCTGTCTTACATAATACACTTAAATAAAAAACATATTTTCTCTTGTCTTTATGTGCATTGCATTTGATTTTGAGGTAATCTAAAAGCAACGGAAAGTAATCGGGTTACTATTATATGTTGATACTTAGATTAAGTTATAGATTAAGTTGTTTTACAGGTAACTAGTGATTGTAAGGGAATACATCTCTAAAGTAACCCTCCCAACCCTGAGGATGATTTACTTTATTTATCCATGTGTTTGACAGCAATCATGACGTTGGAAACTCACTCCATCTTCCCCCGTTAATGTTTCCTGGGCTAGAGGTAGATCTGACTGTCTGTCGCTGTACAAGTTAATATAATGATCGTGACTCAGCTCAGCAGATGCTCAGGAGAAAAACAGCAGACCTGACCCTGTGTTTGTTCTTTCAAATACAGCCCAAAAATATGCTTGGGAAAATGACAAGTAACTATGGTAACCCAGCATGAATATCTCGCATACTCCTGTTTTAAGTTGATTAAAAACTAGAAACAGAAACGTCTCAAACCTACCGGAAAGATATACACATTTCCCTGCGTTCAGTAAAGACTATCCCAGTAAGATGAGATGATAGAACTCACCACTCTCTTTTCCCTGAAGTCGATGCCGACTGTGGTGATGAACTTTGGGTTGAACTTGTTGTCTGTGTATCGGTACAGGAAGGTGGTCTTCCCCACGCCGGAGTCCCCCAGGGCAAGGAGCTTTATAAGGTAGTCATAATCCCCATCAGTCATATTGATGCCCGCAATAAACCTGTGGGAAACAGACGGAGGAGATGTTAACGGACAGAGGCACTCAGAAAGGCTTAGCTGAAGTTAGAATACATACTGCATAATGTAGGCATTCTGTGTGTGTGTGTGTGTGTGTGTGTGTGTGCATATAATCATACTAATAGGAACAATGTGAGGTTTGATTGGTTAAACTAGCCAATGAATAGAAAGAACACGTACACAGTGATAGGGAGGAGACGGTACGTATGTGTGTGTGTGTGTGTGTGTGTGTGTGTGTGTGTGTGTGTGTGTGTGTTACTAGCCACTGTTGAATTATGGAAGTGTGGTCATAGGGTCATCCTGCCCAGAACATGACATTCTGGGAAAACGGTGTTGTGTGTGTGTGTGTGTGTGTGTGTGTGTGTGTGTGTGTGTGTGTGTGTGTGTGTGTATATCAGAGTATGGGAAAGCAGTAGAAAATGTACTCAGTTTATTAAAGGAATAATTCACCCCCAAAATAAACGCTTGAAAAACAAATACTGCCCCATGATATTCTTAGAGCCTTACCAGTAGTAAATGTCAAAAGGGTTTATCATCTGGGGAGCAGGACCATGATCAAGAAATGCATTTCAAAACGTTTGATTTCCATGATTTCTTTTCACATGTTTCTATTGAGTTGTAGTCTGGGGTCTGTTTGCCTCAAAGCTAGATGAGGTATTTTTAGAAAGAGGATCACAAGACTCTAATTCACTCAGCTGAGAGGAAGCAGATATAACACTGAGCTTTATTACAGGGATGACAGTGATTAACCAGGAGCTCTGATCTGCTCACAATAACCTCACTGTACGTCAGTACGATGAGAACCAGTCACACTGTTCACCAACCAACCACACTGAAGAAACATGGTTATCACGCATATATAAAGATTACTAGATAGTGTTGGAGGCAGGGCCGTGCGCTTTTCTACGAAAGTTGCTTGGTGGCGCATGAATCTTAAAATTAGCAGAATTATGAGATTACCTTCCGCATCCATGGGCCCTTAAAAAGCACATTTTTCATTAACCCTGCCTCCCAGTTATCTTTAAACTAGCTCTGGATTAGACTTTAAGTGCATTATGCAACTTTAAGGAGCTTTTATATAAAAAGGGCTATTCAGTATTGGCAAGTTGATTATTTCAAAAACAATTAGTCGCTGATATTCTGATCATTTCCAATGGAAGTCTAAGGAGGCCCAATAACATAACATGACAAACCCGGAAATGAATATTCCACAGTTTGGCCATTATGTCAAACTGGCTTTAAGGCTAGATAGTATTCCTAGTATAAATAGCATAAATGTATAATTGTCTAGAAGAGAAAGAAGTAAAAAAAGTTCACAGAGATGATAAATCAGATTTTTCAGGCATATTTGAGTTAGATTTTGAACCAAAACCAACTCTCACAGAGCTACATATGTACGCAAAGCCAGTCCAAATAGACAGCTGAAGTAAAACCAAGGAATAACAGACTCCATTTCCCATAAGCTCTACCATCCGTGGCGTGAAAAACAATTCTAAGATAGGACAACAGAAGATTTGAGTCCAAAATCAACAGAAGGATGCCTAAACAAGGTAGAACTAGTGAAGCAATGGTGATATAATGAATATGGTCGAATGGTAGAAGATGCTGTTGCGCTGCTAAACTTTAATTGGAGCTGTATCGTTTTGTTTGCTTAATAAATTGTTTGATTTCATTAAAATGCATCTGGTTTAAATGTCCAATGAACATAAAGCAGACTTTAATACAATACAAATCAATAAATCTAACAAATTCAATACGTCACAATGATGACTTTCGCGACAAAAGTTAATCAAGGTAAAAGGACCGTTTTCTAGACCTAATTCAATTGGCTTTCCTTCATTGGTGCGGACGTTTTGGCACATGACAGTACTCTGATAGATTTTTCCTTTCTTTGGTTGCTCTAACACATTTAGCATAAATCAGTCATGTCTTTTATGAAGCCTCCCGACGTTGAAAGGACGGGGGTGAGACGAGATAGATGCTTCAACGTTATTGATCTGTGCTCATTTGTAGAAAACTGGGAACACTACAACCAGTGGTGTGATGAGTGGTGTGGTCAGTCATGATCCCCCGAGGGTTAAACTGTTAACAGCAGCTCGGTCAGCTGACGCCAGAGAACAGGAGGACTCACAGTCACCCAGACAACCAACTACACAACAGAGAAACTCCAGAATGGGAGAAGATAGAAAAAAAGTGTGTTCATTTTCTTAGTGGTAAAAGATAATATTTTAAAAGATTGTTATTCAGAAATAACTTTCATTATCGCAATAACATTTACGATACGTATAGGAAGGGTTGCTCGAAGTGCGATAAATCATAGTATATTTAATGTGCCATGCATTCACTCTCTGATATCTCATCATATATACCTCGTCACTGTACCGTTTTTTACATTAATTATTTGACCGTCTATGTTACTATCTAATTGCTCTTTTTACTGAACTGTTGGTGTACAGTTTTAGTATTATGCTGCTGTGTTTATTGTGTATTTGTAACTCTGGCACAACAATTTCCTTCGGGATAAATAAAGTCCCATCTTATCTTACATGTATATATCTGGCCAATCAAATGGAGCCCTACTGCTGTAGATGTCCCGCCCCCATGTAGAAGTCACACTCATAGCTGAAGGGTAAAGCTGATGGACTTCAACTGAGTGTTGGTTATGACTGAAGGGAGGGACCACCAAGGAAAATAATGGGGATGAAAATTACGTTTTTCAAACATGTATTTTATGTAAGTCATGTCAAACACGTGTGACAACTACCGGAGGTTTCATGAGGACCTGAAACCTCTTCAATGTCACATCCGGCTAACAATTGAATTGTAACACTCGTACATGTTTGTTCTCCTTGTATCACCCAGCGATAGAGTGTAGATACTTTCCTGCATGCAGCATTACGGCAAACAGCAAAAGTAAACACATCCTTTACTCAAGTAGAAGTACAGATACTCGTGTTTAAAAATACTCTGGTACAAGTAGAAGTACTGACTAAACTTCTTTACTCAAGTCAAAGTAAAGAAGCTTTGAAATGTACTTCAGTAAAAAGTACCCATAGCTAGCAGCTGTTTTAAAGAGTACCTGACCTCCCTTTATATCAATAGAACAATAATGTCATTGTTAGCTAATGAATGTTTCCATGCTGAACAACGGCAACATGACAACGTTTTCATTGGTCCCTCTTCTTTAGAGAAGACCAGGAAATGATGGATACACGGATCGTGTTCAAATCAATAGGCACGCAATGACTCTAAAGAATAATGATCACGCCACCAAACATACATTCAAACTAAAGGACCAGCTGTTGGAAAATGAGAGAAGTAGAAAGTACCGGTATTTGAGTTCAACATGTAAGAAGTAGAAAGTAACAGGTGTTTGTGTTCAACATGTAAGAAGTAGAAAGTACAGGGTATTTGGGTTCAACATGTAAGAAGTAGAAAGTACAGGTATTTGAGTTCAACATGTAAGAAGTAGAAAGTACAGGTATTTGGGTTCAACATGTAAGAAGTAGAAAGTACAGGTATTTGTGTTCAACATGTGAGAAGTAGAAAGTACAGGTATTTGTGTTCAACATGTAAGAAGTAGAAAGTACAGGTATTTGTGTTCAACATGTAAGAAGTAGAAGTACAGGTATTTGAGTTCAACATGTAAGAAGTAGAAAGTACAGGTATTTGTGTTCACATGTAAGAAGTAGAAAGTACAGGTATTTGTGTTCAACATGTAAGAGTAGAAAGTACAGGTATTTGTGTTCAACATGTAGAAGTAGAAAGTTCAGGTATTTGTGTTCAACATGTAAGAAGTAGAAAGTACAGGTATTTGAGTTCAACATGTAAGAAGTAGAAAGTTCAGGTATTTGTGTTCAACATGTAAGAAGTAGAAAGTACAGGTATTTGTGTTCAACATGTAAGAAGTAGAAAGTACAGGTATTTGTGTTCAACATGTAAGAAGTAGAAAGTACAGGTATTTGAGTTCAACATGTAAGAAGTAGAAAGTTCAGGTATTTGAGTTCAACATGTAAGAAGTAGAAAGTACAGGTATTTGGGTTCAACATGTAAGAAGTAGAAAGTACAGGTATTTGTGTTCAACATGTAAGAAGTAGAAAGTACAGGTATTTGTGTTCAACATGTAAGAAGTAGAAAGTACAGGTATTTGTGTTCAACATGTAAGAAGTAGAAAGTACAGGTATTGAGTTCAACATGTAAGAAGTAGAAAGTACAGGTATTTGTGTTCAACATGTAAGAAGTAGAAAGTACAGGTATTTGGGTTCAACATGTAAGAAGTAGAAAGTACAGGTATTTGTGTTCAAACATGTAAGAAGTAGAAAGTACAGGTATTTGTGTTCAACATGTAAGAAGTAGAAAGTACAGGTATTTGTGTTCAACATGTAAGAAGTAGAAAGTACAGGTATTTGGGTTCAACATGTAAGAAGTAGAAAGTACAGGTATTTGTGTTCAACATGTAAGAAGTAGAAAGTACAGGTATTTGTGTTCAACATGTAAGAAGTAGAAAGTACAGGTATTTGAGTTCAACATGTAAGAAGTAGAAAGTACAGGTATTTGTGTTCAACATGTAAGAAGTAGAAAGTACAGGTATTTGTGTTCAACATGTAAGAAGTAGAAAGTACAGGTATTTGTGTTCAAAATGTAAGAAGTATAAAGTACAGGTATTTGGGTTCAACATGTGAGAAGTAGAAAGTACAGGTATTTGTGTTCAACATGTAAGAAGTAGAAAGTTCAGGTATTTGGGTTCAACATGTAAGAAGTAGAAAGTACAGGTATTTGGGTTCAACATGTAAGAAGTAGAAAGTAACAGGTATTTGGGTTCAGAGGAGCGGATGTAATGTAAGAAGTAGAAAGTACAGGTATTTGGGTTCAACATGTAAGAAGTAGAAAGTACAGGTATTTGAGTTCAACATGTGAGAAGTAGAAAGTACATGTAAGAATGAGAAAGTACAGGTATTTGGATTCAACATGTAAGAAGTAGAA